TCTAGGCATGAAATTGTGATGTTTTGTTTTGTTTTCAAAATCAAAGGAAGTACCTGATAAAGTCTTACTGGGGGCAATGAATATCTTTCTAACAGCAAAACAGAAAGAAGTATTTCGACTAGGAACAAGTTGCGTTTGGGGAAGATCAAAGTGATGCAGATTATGTTTACTTCTTCATAGGCGGATCCAGAGGGGGGAGGGATGGGTGTGCGTGCACGCACACACACACACACACACAGCCTTTTGTGCTGAAAGTTTGTTATATGACCATTAAAACTTGGGTGAAAATGAAGAGTGCGCCCCTCCTTTACTCAATAGGGTGCACACACCAACATCCCACCCCACCCCTTTTCTCAAAAAGCTGTATCCGCCCCTGTACTTTTATGAAAACTACTAGTCTGACAGCCGTCAAATAACCTTGAAAGTAAGGAGTGTGTGCACCTGAAACACCGACTTAGTCCGGAATATTCCGTATGGATTTGTCCGGATTTTATATGTCTGCAAGGAAAGGGAGGTAATTCGTGTTTCTTGAATTATATGCCTTTGGCTTCGAGAATTATGAAAACTGACGATCCCTCTCCGATTTGGATTAAGGCTGTTTTAATGTCACATGAAAAACTCCTGCGTGGTGACGTTTGATTCATGAATGTCACACGAGTAATGGTATGGTTCAAACCAAGAATCACATTCACCGAGGGAAGAGTATTTTTAATACCAAGAAATAATAGTTTTTTCGCTTGGTCGAACGCCTAGATGTTCTACAGCATATTTCGGCGCTTGACACACACTTTTATTTCCTGACCAGTTGTCAGTTTTACTACTTTGGTGAAACTCTCGTACACGATGTTGTCAAACCAAGAAACACGAACAGGTAGAATCTGGGATTCGAACCAATGATCATAGGATTCTGACAAGCTTAAGGGCAGCAACTCTGTATAGCCTTACACGCGAGGCCGACCTATGTTTACAAAAATATACATGTATATTTCGTGAATTTGGTTTCGCTACCACAACTCCCCAAAATATGTTGGTTTGTGTCATCGGTTAGTTTGCACGACAGCGTTCGTTTTGTCACTTGATTACCAATGACCCACAGTTCCGCGTGTCTTTCTAAGAATAGGATGAATCTCATGAATAAAACGGGAAGCTCCACTTTTTCTGAATGATCTGATCAAAGAAAACTTGATACTTTTTAATTCTTTTTTAAAATGGGATATCGTCAACCCACAAGTATGCTGTAGATCTTTTCGCATTCAAATATAGATTAAAACCGTCCAGTGTAAAACTGTAAACTTTAAATATATTAAATCTAGTTTTGTATTTTCTGTATGTTTCATTGTATCAGACTTAAAAGTGACTTTTAAGGTTCCGTCCCCTAGTATCATAACAGAGGCACTCATCTTTCCAGAAAAAAAGGAAGATAATAACCAGTACAAGTAGTAGGAAACACGTTTTAAAAGCGACCCACGTTATTTTCATTTGTTTTCTTAAAAAATCAGAAAAAGCGTATATACGTTTAAAATACAATCCGTACACGGCGCTGCTGAATTTTCCAAGAAAACATACGCTTTAAAACTGGTCATGAACCACATATGGTTCCTAGAATAAACAAGGGCATAGTATTAATTTCTCATTAAATTACAGCACAGATTTACACACTCAAACACAAAGCAACCCGTCTATAAAAATATCTTTGTAACATATATATGAGAGCATAAAACTGCAGTTGTATTTAATGACATACAATAACATTTGTAAACAGTAAGTGCAAAAAGAGTATGGTTACTGTGGAAGACGCATGCCCAAATGAACACGCTCGCACACGCACACAAACGAAGACACACACACATCAGATTGCCTATCGTTTCAGCAACACGTGTATTCTCCAAATGCATCCCATCACTGACAATTTCCACATGAAACTCTTCTGCGAACTAAGTATTTTCCCTTCGAATTATACAACAGGACAGGATGTCCTGGTGGTGAGCGTTGAAACCCGGGACCCCCGGCTAAGGAAGTAACTGTACACACTAGTTGTGGGCGTTCCACCTGAACTCCCCCTTCACCGTTCCTTTCATGAACAGCACACCTGGCCCCGCACACACAAGCGGCATTGTCCATCTACCATGTGCCTATACAGAATCTTTACCTTTTGGTGCAAAAGCACCTATGTGCATACCTTGCCGTGATTATAAATTAATTATTCGTTTAATAGTCATTTACACTACCTGCTGACCTGATAAACGTGTTTGAAATAAACGTCATTCAAGTTGCGAGTTGCACGCATTAGCGTATATTTTGCCTAGGGTAGAAATTAACCAATATGTCGGGGTGGCGAGCTCGTGATAATTTCTAACGTGTGTACGTTGATGTCTGAATATATGGCACTGCCTGAATCCCAAATCAATTTATTGAACATTTACATACAATGATATATAAAGCGTACCATAAATTCAAATTTAATATAAATTAAGAATGACACTGACAGGTGGAGGGTGGACGGGCATCTGGACCGGATGGTGTGTTCACATGTACAAACTGCCATGATATAGACGACTTTATGGTGTTTTTACACGAAAGGCACACTAACCTATCGTTAAGTGCACTGCTACAACTACATCTTCTCGCCCACCATAGTTGAGGGATATTGGCAGTTATAGATACTGCACATCATGGAGACTGAATGGTGATAGGGGACATTGTTTTCAGTAACCATGGTAACTGCTTCAAAATACACCAGATAACTCTTCGAAAGGAAGGGCCTAACGTTTCTTTTTTCATAACACATTTTCAGGACACCCATACACACACACACATACGCACACGCATTGCACGAAATTCAAACGACCCCCCCTCACACACACATTTCTGTTGTATACTTACAACACAACATTCTCCTTTGTATATTGTATATTATACACCCAATTATTATACGATGTAGTATCATATATAGGCACGTGGGCTGATGGGCGTGTTTATTTATCATCATCATCATTGTTGTTGTTTTCTACAGGCTCCGATAGCTTTACACCAGTTCAAGTTCACCATCTAAATACTTCTATCATTACACAAGAACCAACATCACTGATACATGTAACACCACATTCCTGTTTATTGTAACGGTAATTGGTCTACTCACATTTGTGAGAACTCCCAGTTGTGAGACTCCCAGTTGTGAGACAGTGGAGTAGGTAATTAGCAAAGAAAACACACCTTACTCCCCTATCTGATAGAATGGATTAACCCCAGCTAATTATGGATTAGCTATTTAACTGAATCTTGTGGAGGTAACTTAATAAAACTCTAAAAGATAAAGTAATTAACCTACTCAGATAAATGGCCTTAAAAAATAAACACTTTGTGTAGGTAACTTCGTGATCATTTGAAAGAGAAATTAATTTACCTACTCAGATTTACGTGTTTGAACATTCTAGCAATAACTGTTGTCACTATAATTAATCCAAATGTATTTATTAACCTTTGACTGCTCTTTCGGATCACCATTATGGCAGGCTTTCAACAAGTAGAATATATCGCCAGTTCACGATAATCTTTTTCAGTGTTTCAGTATCTATTGAAAACAATAAATGCTCTTCAACGAACAATGTCTTCTGTGTTGATTAACTCATTAATGAACTATGCCTCCTGCGGGTACTCTTCAGCAACAGGGCTGCTCCACTTTCATCGTAGGGTTGGGGAAGCACCGCCTGTGTGCACTGAACCATTAATTAATGTGTCTCACAACTGGGAGTTCTCACAAATGGAGGACACCATTGTAACACATAGTTACTTCTGCAAAATTAATTGCTTGATTATTTAAAAAGACATATGAAATCATACGTCTCAGTGAAAGAATTTCCGTCACTATGGTTACCCTGCACATATATTTGATCGAATTTCAGATCGAACCTTCATTAACATTGTACAAAGTAATATTGCATAATCTAAACACAACTTTGAATTCTGATACGTTTGAAAGAGGTCAAGGCCAGCAAAATGATTCATCACAATAAGCAGAGTCACAAAATAGTCTTCTGCAGCTGCCTTCAATATATGTTTGTAAACCCACCGAGTCTTAAATAATTAATCATCTTCAAATTACATCACGTCTGATATCAAGTCTCCATCAAATGTGACTGAAAGTTTGATAACGTGAATTCACTGCTTAGACTTCAATTATACCACAGGCGTTGCTGCGCCCCGGCCGTTTCCTTTCGTGGAACAAGGAATAAACAAAAATATCCTCTAGCCTTTCACTTTGTGGATACACTTTTTGTATGTGTGCGGACACCTACCCACACGGCAACAGCATCCCGATAATTTTAATTTGGCGAGGAGTGGAGATGATGTTTACAAGTTAGCAATAATAAACACGCCGTGCCTAACTCATTGGTTCGCCCCATTCAAGTCGGTAGATGAACCTTCACGCGGGTAGATCAAGCAGAATCGTTTGATGTACATAAATGTAACCTGTAATAAATAATTCGGCTACTGCATCAAAAACGGAAAATGCTTCTATTTGTATTTGTTAACTAGTTGTCATACTCGAATTATATGTAAAATTCACGGTAAAAGTCACGTGATGTAGACAATGGGCCGAACTAGCCAGTCCTACCGCTGCACATTTAAATGACCTGACCCCTCGAACGCGATGTGGTTTTACGCTTCGTTGACCGCACTGGTCTAGGACTCCGTCTCAATGACAAGACACACATTGCGATATTCGCCAACGCTTATAGCTTGACAAAGGCCGTATGGCGAGGAAATGTCTGGTGTTGGATAAACCACCCGTTTACTGTTAGTAATGAGCAGCAACAGAAAGCAACACATTACACGGTGTAGTGATATACCAGCCTGTCGCATATCTCAAGGGTGTTGTTCTTTTAGATATCTTAGACGCTAGGTCATTGTGGGTCACGCGGACTAGCTATGTCAGAGTCAAATATAGATTATATACAGAGGCACACACATAAACACACATATTAGATAGTACTTTATACCTTCTGAGACGATCCGTGGCCAGATTTCACATGACTTGTCCCCTGTCAAGCTGACGTTTTCCGCAACCAGTCTGGGAGAGAATTTTCTTTGTGGGACTGTCAAACGCTGCTCGTAGAGCCTGATTTCCTAGCCTGGGTCGGCAGTGTGAACTGAGTCAAGCAAGGGGGTTAGGCTTCTTCAAGTTAAGTTATAGGAGACTTGCGCGACCATGGTGTGTCTTCTCCTGACAAACCGACCGATAGTGATCAAGTCTGACGGGTGAATACTGGTGGTAAACTTTCCTGTGACACGGGAATCTAACCAGCGGTAAACCGCTGAGCTATGCTCTGGTTCTCGTTCACAGAGCTTTATGCGCCCCCGCCTCAACTTTTCTAGGACTTTCAACCTAAATAAGTACACACAGAGGGAGGCTAAAGTACCGCTACTCTATACGCAAGGGAGGTAACCGGTGTGGTCACCGCATCAATTGTTTCCCAAATCGAGTGAGGTTATTCCATCTGCGCTACGATGACCAAGGATTTTTGTTGTTCAGGGAAGGCTTTATCTAACGCTGACAAAACTACTCGGTTTTGTCTTTTCTTGTTTTATGTCGTTCGTAAACTTAGCTTGAACCCGTCGTACAATTCCGTCGGAAAATGAATAAAAACCAATTTCCCCTAACCTTTGTGCGCTTAAAGATAAAAGAAACTTCACGTCAAGATGTAGACTTGGTTGAATAATGCTATTTTTCAGTATAGTAGACAACATAGGTACTTCCTATCCACGTAACATACTTGATCTCGGTGCATGTCATACACTCCGATACTGTTACTTTTAGGGTATAAAGTGTATCCCCGTGTTTATGTGTTTGTGTGTGCGCGTGCGAGTGCGTGCTAATATTTGAGAGAAGGAGGGGGACAGATGTGTGAGTGAGTGTCTGTATGGGTATAGGGGAAGGTTCATATAGGTGGGTGTGCGTGTGCGTAGTCTGCAAATTTGGCCCTGATTAAACGTGCAATAATCTAAGACAGGGGTGGAAATAACTTTAAAATTGCTAGTGTACTCCGGTACAGTGGCACATGTAAAATCACTTGCCCTGATAATTTTTCCACTATACCGGCCATTTTCTTGTTGATTTTTTAAATAATCAACATAATTAACATTGGAATATCAACTGGACACCGGTACAGTGTGATATACAAATTTGCTTGCCCGACAGAAAAAAACACTGGACTCGGGCGTCGGGCAATGGGTTATTTCCACCCCTGTAAGACTAGATAAGTCTTTGAATGGCATTTAGAAGTGATACACATAAGGAAGAGAGTTTTTATGGATGTTAACGTCTTTATTATGAGGAACACAATGTTTCGGAGTATATTACTCTTTCATTCATCTGACGTTGTGTTCTTCATAATAAAGGTGACATCCATAAAAACCCTCTTCCTTAAGACTAGATATATATCTTGCACACATCTATAGTGTTGATTGAATAAATGTTCCCATATCTAATCCAGAAAAAAATGTCACGTCTAGTATCAACTGAATAAGCGTCAACAAATCTAAGACTGGATAAAATATCTGTCGTAACTGGACAAGCGTCCACAAAGTCAAAGACTGGGTAAAGACACTACTTCACAAGTTGGATCGTCTTAATAGAGTGCATGTATGTATACGAACGTGGTGATTAAGTATAAGCATACTGAGACAGTATTAGACTAACATCTATAGTCTCTGAAACTTATTTTACAGAAACAAACGTTCCTAAATTATAATAATAAGATATAATAAAAAGGTGTTCAGAGACTTTCTCTTCATTTTCATTGCCACACATTCTAGACTTGCATTGCTTTTTTGGATATATTCTTTTCAGGGTCTCTTCAACATTAAGACATTATGTAAAATATATGACTTATCTACTTCGATGCATCCCTCTTCTTCCATGGCATATGTTTCAAAACACTTTTGCCATACATTTCAGTAGCTTCTACGTATTGTATCGGTTGCAGCATAACAATTATTATATACTTAACAGAGTCACATAAAGCTGAAGGGGTCGTTGTCGTCACGGGTACTACATGTACATGGTGTGTGCCCCCCACACGTTCTGTATACAGAAGGGGCGGTGGGGTAGCCTAGTGGTTAAAGCGTTGGCTCGTCACGCCAAAGACACGGGTTCGATTCCCCACATGGGTACAATGTGTGAAGCCCATTTCTGGTGTCCCCCGCCGTGATATTGCTGGAATATTGCTAAAAGCGGCGTAAAACCATACTCAATCACTCACTGTATACAGAAACGTACCCTAGCCCAAATCCGAGCACAGGAACACACCCGAGGACGGCACTGTGCCGTTTTCTTGATCGGAACTGTCATACTGTTGTATTAGATACAGTTGATTGCGTAATATATAAGAAACGAGCATACGTAGTAACGAATTGTTCGCGAAGTACAATACCACTCGCATACAGCTGAACGGGAACAACTACATACGGTAGCGGTTTTTTAGCTGCGGAATATGGACTCATCTCCCGTCTAGGGCACCGGGTACGTTTCTGTATTTTGACCTTATCATGGGTACATTTCTGTATACAGAAACCAGGGGCGAATCCAGGGAGGGGAAGGGGGTTGGGGTGTACGTGTGTGATCCCCTTCTCTCCAGAGGATCATTTCCCCCTAACTTTTGGACTTCATGATTTATGTACACCCCCACCTTCTCCAAAATCCTGGATAAGCCCCTGAGAAACGTACCTAGGGTACATATCTGTAGTGCCTGTTCCGACAACGACCCCTTCAGATCCAGAAAAGTAAGATGCTGAACGCTATGAAAGGCATGGTACATATATTTAAGATAAAATAGCAAATGTAACATTGCTTTCACATATTGATACCATTTTTGACAATATTAATATTACTATGTAACTAATGTAACATAAGACGTGTGTGTGTGTGTGTGTGTGTACGCGCGCGCGCGTAATGTGTTGAGTGGTGGTACCTTAAAACTCACACTCTGCTTTAAGTGTATTAGCTTAATTGCAGTGTTGATAACATCTGACATAATATAGTCTTATGTGATATTGACACTTATTTAATACTTCTATGTACTGGGATATAGTCATTTTTTACCCAAGGATTACATATACCCTAGTCCAGCATACAACTAGACGATTATGCACTATACGAATTTATTCATATGAACTACCTAGCATGTGGGGCCAGTAAGAAGACAATAACGGATTTTTATTGAAATATATATAATTTCCACATACTAGATAATCGCGTCCATAAAGAAAGATCTACATATACAGTATATGCTGAAAACAATAACATTCTAGCATTATGTTTCTAAACACGCACATGAGACTCTATACTTTCTCTGCTGACTGACGACTGAGGAGAACGTACGAACTGAAGAGACCATCGCGGAAAGTTTGGAGTTCGTGCGTGAAGAATTATATATATTTACATCCAGTCGTTGTTGCGTATATTTTATACTGCGTAGCTACCGGAAGTGGTTGCAGCGCCACCTGTAAACTCCGCAAGTTTTGGGTTTGATTGTCAGAAGTTTATGTAGACGTGGCTGTCAGTTACTATTTTACAAAATTGTTGAGTGACAATTCGAAGAGTCTAAGCTATGCAACTTAAGAAAAGAAAACGAGAAAGAAAGGAGCTGTTGTGAGGGCTCGTTCAGTGTCAGGCGGCGACGATGGCTAGCCAATCCCTGTCAGAAAGACAGGAGGATGAAATCCAAGCACTCTTGTCGATTTTCATGGATGATGCCAGTGATCTAAGAGAACAGGATGCGTGGAAGGTACTGAAACTTGTGTATATCCCACTGCTCAGCATTTCCCATTCTACTTACATGTCGTGATATCCGCCCACTTGAAAGTTCTAAATTTTAAATCACCTATAAGTAAATTACCAGTTCTAACTGCGTCTATGAGTATAAGTTCGCGGATCAGATTAATGAACTCAGGATTAAAATAACGAAACACGACCCTGTCACCCTCACACTCACAGTTATTGAATCATGCAGCACTGATGTTTACAACACTGTCATGTCCTACATACATTAACCCCTAGATGTCCCTGTCAAAAAATGAAAAATATAGTTTCCCTTATATAATCATGGACAGTGTTAATAGTCACGTGAAATATTATCTAAATATAGTATTAGGTACAGTAACCAAAAATCCTTTAACTTTTTACCACATGCACAGCTTGTCTTCTTCTTTGACAACCAAATACCAGAGACCATATAATGCAAATACCAATAATTTTGCTTTTCAAATTGGCCAGTGTTTCATGTGGTTTGGCATTAAGTAAAGGAGCAGTTATCATGATTAAAGGGCCTTGATAAGTTAATTACAGTGATAGTTAATTAATTGTGTAATCAATCAATGAAGAGGTCTCAGGCATAATGCCACTGTTTACGTGGTTATGAGTCATGTCAGTATTTATGTTTAAGTTTACAGTACACTACATAAAGGTTGGGAGCATCATTAGAATACAACACCACAACTACTCATGAGGATGATCTCAGTTGTAGAACTTGTAGGTCACATGTCACTAAGACAAGCAACCATCCTTGTTGAGAATATGTGACATGTGAACAGGCAACATACATATCATTAACCTCATAACTAACTGACTGAACTATGTCCACACTGTTAGTGTTACAGTACATCTAGTCATGCAGATAATACCTAAATGAACAGACAATCATGAAAGTTATGGGTAAACATGGTGTCTCATGACTTTTATCTACAGACACTCATCAATGATACCAGTGCCATTTGGCACAGTTTTCCAGTTCCATAATCTAAAAGATATGAAGTTGTTTGTAATAAGCTGATATGGCATGAACTGGAAACAACTGTAGACATCAGGAGTCACACATGAAATTCACGGTCAGATGAATGATGTGCCTTTGAATAATTGGTCGGGTGATTTTGTGCAGCAATACATGTAAGTTACATTATTCACAATGCTTAGGCAGGTGAAATAGTTTTGAGGGTCAGAAATTAGACTGCAGCCCATGTTGATATTTATTGATATGACTTTATGTTGATTGCTATCAATAACTGATGACATAATTTGAAACACATGGTAAGGTCTTATCCTCAAAAGGAGTGCAGCAGGATAATTATTCTCCATTTTACCCAAATACCTATGATTTTGTGAGGGATAAATGGTGATACAAGTGGTATGGTGCATGTTTATCACAGACGTTTTTTATATGCTTTTATGCCAGCATTATTTTGGGGGAAAGACTCATATATTTTGGATGAAAACCAGTCATTTTCTGACATTTTAAGTGAAAACCCATGAAATCCTGCTTGGTAACATTGGTAAATGGATACAGCAGTAATTTGAATTCTCAAACAGTGGCACAGATATATCATAAACATTTTCATAATTTTCAAACTTTGCCATACATGCTATGGTATTTGTCTCCACCTTCAGTCACTAGTCCAAACTTCAACATATACATAAGAATATTTACTAGGAAACTCAGCAAAAGCTGGTCTAATTGTTAAGACTTTATTCCTCTGATAAATCATCAAAAGACAAAGTTAGGCTTGTGGACTGTGCTTTTGCAAGAGACTATTGAATTTATTCCAGACTGGCATGTCCGATGTTCATGAAAGAAAGTGTTCTAAAACTGATATTGCTAGAAACATCATTATCAAATGGCAAACCCCGGCTTTGGGTTATTCACTTTCCAATATAAATTTTAGCAGCTACTGGTGTGCCTGACCAAACTGAATGCTCACAGGCCACTATTTCATTATGTATATCGCTCAAAACTATTGAGTAAAAACTATACTTAGTATTCTAGCACCTCAAGAAGCACTGTTACTGAGATTACTATACAAGCCTTTTTACAAGAAGAATATCAGGATTCTTGTATTTCCTGAGCCAGAGCAAGGGTAATACACTATTCTTACACAAGTTTAGTAAAATCAGCATGACATACAGGCAAATGTAGTAATTCCTACTTGACCTATTATTTCTTAATTATATTAAGCTCCCCTTTTGAAATATGCACTGATCACGACTGTCAAGTGACATGAAGAAGCTAGAAACATTTCTAGTATGACATTATTCCAACCATACAATCACAGTATGATTCGGATGATGTCAACAATGGTGTCTGGAATAAGTTGTCAGTATGTCAGTACACACATCTGACAAGGAGTACTTTCACCATTGAGATGATCCTTTTTCGTACATGTTGTACTTACAGTCCAAATTTTTCTCAGGTCCAACGTCCACCAGAAATCAAACTTACATTGCGACCCCAGGAAAGCATGGGGGGCATTGACAGACCAGCATATGCACAGGTGGACCTCATCGTCAAGTGTTCCTGCAGCTACCCAGATGTGTAAGGCTCTGAGACTTGAAGATTTTCTTACCAAAATTGTATTTTGCTGTCCCAAAGTAGTGTTATTGCTATGTTACATAGTGACATATTTTGGTAATATTTCTTAACAGAAGTTTTTTCATCTTGTTACTATCATATTCTTCTCATAATCACCTGGTTATAAAGAAGGATTAGCAATGAGTAGCAAGGAATATTTTTCACATCTGTGAGTAAAAACCTGGATTTGAAATAATTGGTATCATTATCAAACACGTGTGAGATTGAATTCCAGGTTTGTGATTGGCTACTCATGTTTTCGTGTGTAAGAAACAAATAACTGCTCTTGTCCCTGTCACCAGTTATGTTAACATGTTTCAAAATATATCTAACTAGCTTTTGCTTGTAAACATGTTTGGAACAACTTGTAAGATACATGGTGTCTGACAGACACTGATGCAGTTATGTCTGTTTTCCCATCCATGTACAAATGAAAAATGCAACCTGTAACATGTAACTTGGTGTAAACATGACTGTTAAATGATCATTGAACTATTTTGGGTATACATGTAATTCTATTGCATGATAGTCATATGCTTGTCACAACAGCCCGCCTGACGTTCAGCTGGAAAATCCAAAAGGCTTATCCAACAATCAGCTGTCAAGTCTTAGAGAAGAACTAAAATCTCTTTCTGCTAAACTAGTTGGAGAGGTAAGTGAAGCGAATTCTACATGTATAATGTTTGATATTCAAAGAGAAAATCTACTTTTGGCAAGATAATATTCTACACACTGAGTGCTGATTGAGTTAAAATGTAGAGAATACTGAGAAAGAAAACAGCCCATATTTAAAACAAGAATGTATTATATATGAAATTATGTACCTAACACAGCATTCATTTATAGTAGTTCTAGTAACTGGTTATCCAATTTTGGACATAGCTGTAATCTTTAAAAGAACAGGTAAACGAAATTCTTTTTCAGAAATCAAAACAAAGTAGAATAATCACCTTAATTCCAGTCTAATTTCAGCATGGTCAGTATTAATCATGACAATGCTTATATTTTAATATTATGTATGATATATAATGTATGAGTATTTATGACTTCAGTTTGATGTAGATACTTCACAACATAATGTTCATGGGTCTGGTGGCTGGGTGGGGTTTATATTAAACTAATGCCCTAGTCCCCTGTAACACTGAAATGTAAGGATGCATGTTACAGTGTTCACGAATGGTGTTTCAAAGTAACAAGACATTGGGTCCTGTCAGTTTCAGATGTCTATTTGACCCATTGAAAATTCACAGGACCCATAGAATAAAATTAAATAAACATTTCAGATTTAACATTTCTCATAATTGGCATTGAAATTATTAACAAACATAAGATTTATAAACAGCAAACAAGTGTCATATGTCACATATAACAACTTCAGTCAAAGTCACTGTGAAATATACAGCCAGACACTGGGGCCGGCGGGATGTAGACTTCTATCAGACCGTTGGCGAATCTGCCAGATTTGTCAAGAGGGTCAGACGCTATTCGTGAACACTGATGTTATGGTAGGTAGCTGTTAATCCATATTTAACTTTAATATGGAATTATTTTGATGATCTAGGTGATGATTCATGAACTAGCTCAGCATGTACAATTGTTCCTTCACGTAAACAACAATCCCCCAACACAATCATTCTATGATGAGATGATGGAAAACAAACGTAGACAAGAAGCATTAGTTGCTCAAGAACAACTGAAAATGATGGAACAGCAGAGGAGAAAAGAAGAAAAGGAGGTAAGTTTTCAGACAGAATGGTAGATTCCCCTGCACCTTAAGGCCTAAAAAAAAAATGTTGTGGTTCTGATTACCCGACCGACCCTTGAATTCTGGTGCTGACCCTAATTTTTTAAAGCAGTATGAATGAAATAAGCTTTTAGATAACATTGCTTTTTTCCCGGCACCGATGGACATCGGTCATCCTGATAGAGAAAGTCGACATGATGACCGAAACCTTGATTGAATAAACAATTATACATTGATAAATGTGTTATTAGTTTGTACTTTAGTTCTCCCCAAAAATGCTATAAAAAAATTCTACCTACCTACCCTAAATTTTAAAGAAGTGTAATCAGAACCACAGCATTTTTTTTATTTGGCCTAAACATGTATAGTATCCATGAGGACATTGATCATTATTCTCTAATTTTTTCACAAGACAATATATATTTCAGAATGCACAATTAATGCACATGTGTTAATAATACATCATTATGTAAACAGTATTTAAGTAAAATCTGTAAAATGGGTACCAGTGAAGATGTGCTGGCAATGTGAGTGTTTTGTTCATTGCGCCTAACAGGCAGCATGGCTGTATGATCCCCAGGAAGTTGAAAAAGTTACGGAAAGTACGATAGTGTCCTATGACCGGGGATAGTAATGTACGTAGCACCGTGAGCAGGCAGTGTACCTGGATATGAGCACCATATAAGCGGACTAGTGGTTAAGGCGATCGCTCGTCACGCCGAAGACCCGGGTTCGTTTCCCCACGTGCACAATGTGTGAAGTCCATTTCTGGTGACCCCTGCCGTGATGTTGCTGGAATATTGCTAAAAGCGACGTAAAACTAAACTCACTCACTCACTAATGAATGTATAACTTGTAGTTACAACATGGCTGAAATACTGCCGACGTGACTAAAAATCTGAACTCACCTCTTTGTGACAACACTTCACACCTACTGCTTTACCTCTTCAGACCTACTGTAAATACCCAACAGGTGTGTTCAGGTAATATGAATACATGCAGGGATATTTACTAAGTGGAGAATAATGTACAAAGGTGACAACATAATGAGGAAGCCTTAATTGTTACAAAGAATAATATTGTTATCCATAAACCATGTCGTGTGTTCACTAGGTTTGGGTATTGCAGAGAATTTTCATATTGCAATATGTTGCAATATTTTAATCATGATAGAATAAAAATGTGAATAATATTTGGCACAAATAAATAGGGCTGCGCAATATAACCGGTTTACCAGTATTTACCGGTTCAGACATGAAAACGATACGCATTGCGATACGCTGATCGAAAACCGGTATTTTGACATGCATTTGGAAAACTTCGTAAGACTCGGAAATCTTCGGATATTTCCGTTTTTTTAATTGTTCTTTTCCCTGTTTCATTAGTGCCAAATGTTACTTACATTTTTGTTTTGTCATGATTAAAAGTTTTTATAAAAGGTTAATCAATCATAGTGATTTTGTTGTGTTTTTGCTTTATAATCAAGCATTAACTCGATTATAAGTAGTTTTTGTTAAAAAAAATAATCCTTGCAATATATTGCAATACATAAATTAATATTATGTATGATATATAATAAAACAAGGAAATGTCAAAATACCGGTTTTCGATCAGCGTGTCGCAATATGTATCGTTTTCATGTCTGGACCGGTAAATACCGGTAAACCGGTTATATTACGCAGCCCTAGTGTTCACGTTACACTACTATCTATTTATTAACTCCTCCATTTGTTCCTTTTGTTTTAGCGACAAAATATTGAAGATGAAGTTATGCGAAAACAAGCTGCGCTCAGGGTTGAGGTCAAGAAAAGAAGAGATGAAACTGAAAAGGTGAGGTTCATGTTCTCTTAGTTGATTCATCTGTATTTTCTTTAACAAAACCATCTGTCAGTGTCAAGTGAAATGACAATTTGTCACACTGTTTTGAAAGATCATAATAACATACTTTAACTCAGCTCTTTGATCATTCTAATCCAGAATATACTGTGAACTGTGAACAAGTCACAAGTCAACAAGTCACAGGTGCCGATTAGTGTTGTGATAAGCATATAAAATTGTTTAAACTTATCCTATCTCACGGTATGCACTTCTCTTCTTCTTGTACGACCATGTGTGGAAACGTGTTGTAGGCTAAGTTGAATCAAAACTTCCTGCCCTCTGACCACCTGACCTTTGCCCCCACTCCGATAGCAGTACCTGTCAATCATCTCAAGAAGCATGCAGATCGCTCAGATGATCACGTGACAATCTGTGCCTGTCATTCTCTTTCTTGTCTCTACGTCGTGTGGACGTGTGCTGATTCTTAGTGAGATTTTGACTGTGTTCAATATGGGTAAATCTCGTCGCAGTGCTTTCAATAAACGCAAACATTGCGACAAGTGCAATAGTAACTTTTCTGCTGCGGACCCACATACATTGTGTGTGGATTGTTTGGGATGTTGCGATTGGGTGCACCGGTGTACCTATTGGGATAAACTTGATGATGATGCTTTTTCGGAATATTGACGGGTGGCTTCCCAACGTTTGTCTGACAGGGATCGCCGTAAACCCTCGGAGGGTTGTTCCTCATCTAAACGTTCAAAATTTGAACGTCGTACGAAGACACCTGTTCGCCATTCCAAGTCCCCGTCTCCAAATGAAGAATTTCTAGATGATGCTTCTGATTCTTATCTGAGTGAGAATCTCCGGCATTTATTTCATCCGCAGACATCCAGTCCTATTGTGATTCAAGATCGTTCGCCGCCTAGAGTTGTAGTTTTAACTACTTCTTCTGTCTAGTCTTGTCCGTCTACTCTGGCGAAGATTTCTCAGAACCCTGGTGATCCTATGACGATTGTTTCCAGTGCGGCGCTTGGATTGATGGCCAGCATTCACTTTCAAGCCGGGAATACGTTCTGTTCGGTGCTTTCCAGCACGGTGATTGGCTGTACGCTTTCTACCCTTGCGCCGCTTGTTGCAGACGCTTTCTACATCTGACTCGTATGTCGTCACACCTGTGTATGGATCACTGCCTATTTCCAGTGCGCCTCTTACCTCAGGAGCGCCGCATGCTTTCAATGCACCGCTTGCTACCGGTTCGGAGCTTAGTATCGGAGCGCCGCTTGCTCCCGGTTCGGCGCTTCCTGGCAGAGCACCGCTTGGTCCCGGTTCGGCGCTTACTGTCGGAGCGCCGCTTGCCTCCTATGCGCCGCTTGCTCCCGGTTTGGCACTTACTGTCGGAGCGCCGTTTACTTCCAATGCGCTGCTTGGTCCTGGTTCAGCGCTTCCTGTCAGAGCGTCGCTTGCTTCCAGTGCACCGCTTGCTCCCAGTTCGGCGCTTACTTTCAGTGCGCTATACGTTGTTCCAGTACACTGCTTGTTCCAGTGTACCACACTCCTCCAGTGTGCCGCTTTCTCTTGGTTCAACGTTGCCGCCTTTGCCAGGTCATCCACCCATGCCAACCTCTGGTTCTACTTTGCCACCTACTTAGCCTCCTACTTCAGGGACTACGTCTATCACCTATCTATTTTACCGGTTTCTTGGGATCCTTGGTCTTCTGAGGGTTCTGCATCTCAACCTCTTGATTTTGATGCCATCGTTCATGCTGTGGCCTCAGCGTTACGTCAGCAAGTCCCAGCTCCATCCTGGACTGTTCAGCCAGCTGGCCCTCCGACCGTTCCACTTCATTCCATGGATGAAGCTCCTCAATCGGTTACGCCCTCTCCTACTTCAGATGGCACTTCGGCTTCAGATGTAAGCATTGATGCGGTCGACACGCCTCAGTTACTGGTTTGGATTGCTGATAACCTTCGACTACCACGTAGCAGTTCACCTTCGGACTTGTTGACTAGCTTTGATATGAAATCTGGTGATGTCGGTGATGTCACTTTCCCACCTTGTCCCTGCATTACTCAACTTGCGGCTTACCTTGATGATTCATTTAACGACTTCAGGAAAGTCAAGGATGGGTTTGCAGCACTCCGGTTTAACTTGGCGTCTTCCCATGTTCATGGGTTTTCTACGTTGATTGTCTCTCCTTCTATGGATCTAAACAGAGAGCCTATTCTCCCTTTCTGGTTGAGGACTGTGAGTTGTCGCACCTGGATGGCGCCATTCGGAAGATTTTAGCTCCCCTCAACATGGTTTTGACGGCGACTGAAGCTGTGGCTATGTCTGTCTCGCATGCAGCTTCCCCTCAACAGGCTTATATTCGGGCTTTGATGGGTGTTGTTACAGGAGCATATCCCGACCATCTTGGATCAGTTGGCCCATTTTTTCTATTACCTCACGGCGGTTCGGCGCAGGGGCCCGCTTCACTTATCGTGGGAGGATAGATTTCGGACAGATCTTTTCGTCAACCTTGGTCGGGCAGATCACTTTTTAATGGGGCTATATCTCTACGAGATATAGCCCCAAGGTTGGTCAGGATGCTCATTTGCAGGTCTCTGTGGAGCTATTGAAATTTCAGTGGTTACAAGTAGAAGAGTGGGTGCGTAAACGGCAACCAGCTCGCTATGTGCCGACCAACCCAGACCTTCGTTCGGGATCTCCTACTTCCTTTTGTGGAAGAGGTTCGACCAGAGGGCGTTCCAACCATCAGCGCCGGTCGTTCACTTCTTCTAGACCAGCTTCCGCTTCCAATCAGTCTTCCACTCAGAAGACCGAGAAGCAGTGACTTGCAGATATCAGAGCACGATTGGGTCCTTCCGCCTCCAATCGTACCTATCAAGGCTTCCCCAGTAGGCTGAAGACTTGGGATTTATGCCCCCCAATTGGACCATCTTGGACGACCCTTACGTTCTCTCCACTCTGTCCAAGGGGTTTCAACTTCCAGTCATTGGCAACCCTCCTCTCACACTATTTCCAGAGCACAGGACGTATCCCGCACGTCAAACGGCTGTGCTGCGCTCCACCATAGTCAGGGTTTTACTCTCCAATCTTCCTGGTTCCGTAGAAGGATTCCGACAAATTGAGACTCATCTTCAACATGAAGGTCTTCAACGGGATGTTCCTACAACCACTGTCTCATTTCCATATGGCATCGGTGGCTGTACTCAAGACTATCATCAAACCGGGGGATTACATGGTGAGCCTTGACCTACAGGATGATTACCTTCACATCCCGATCTTCCCAGACCATCGCAAGTTTCTTCGTTTCGTCTTCGAGGGCACCCACTATGAGTGGCATGTTCTCCCATTTGGAATTTCTTCGGCCCCGAGGCTATTTACACAGGTGATGAAGCCAATCACCAGCTACCTCCATCGCAAGGGGATACTTTTCGAAACATACATCGACGACAGTATCCAGTCTCAGATTGACCATGCACTCCTCCTATGTCACATGGGGTTCACAATGCAGCTACTTCACCAGTTAGGCTGGCTTGTCAACATGGAGAAGTCGGAACTAGTCACTTCACGCTGCCTGTAGTTTATCGGGGCGGTGTTCGACACAGAGCTCAGCAGACTGTTTGTGCCGAGGGACCATTTCTACAAGCTCCGGCGGTTAATCCCCTTTGCGTTGCTCAACCCAGGACTCTTCGTCAATGGCAGGAGCTCCTGGGTCTCTTGACGTTGGCCCAGGTGTTGAACCCTCAGGTGTCAACTTCAGCTTCGACCTTTGCAGTTTTTCCTGGCTCCACACATCAGGGTGGGCAACCCGCTTTCACTGATCACTTTAACTCCGGCGCTCCATCCCCATCTCCTATGGTGGATGGAAGAGTCGAACGTCTGCAGCAGAGTCTGCTTAAGGCCGTTCGTCCCGACTCACCACCTGGATGCATCTCTACATGGTTTGCCACCCGTTTCAACCACCAGTTGCCTCTGTTCGTGTCTCCGATTCCGGACCCTCTTGCCTGGGGTCTCGACGCTCTTGCCATTCCTTGGGATGACCTAAACGCAAACGTGTTTCCACCAGTGGCCCTACTTCCACGCATACTACTGAAATTGCGCTCGACTAAGCGGATGACACTGCTTTTGGTCATGCCCTATTGGCCGGCCAGAGGTTGGTTCGTAGATCTACAAGAAGTGGCCAATCCAGATCCTGTACCACTGTACCCAGGACGAAGGGTATAGCTTCTCCCACTACTGTTTCACCGCAGATGGTGGCGGAGTACCTTCAACATCTTTGAACCTCCAGAAAGCTTAAGGGTTCTACATTGTCTTCTTACCTGGCTGCTCTTAACACCGTTATTGCGCCAGCTTCAGGTGTGAAGGTGTCTACAGTTCCTGAGCTCCAGTCTCTCCTCAGATCTTATAAACTTGCTGACCAATCCCAAAAGTTCCGATCCCCAGCTTTGGATCTTTCCGTTGTGCTTAGTCATCTTACGTCAGCGGACTACGAAGCTTTAGAGGAGAAAGACTTTGAGCAGGTCTCTTTTAAGACCTTCTTTCTCATGGCTTTGGCCACTGCTGCCCGCATTTCCAAGTTACATGCCCTCGAAGTCTCCCGGGTACGTTTTGAGTAGTTGAGACATGCAAAAGTATTTCTTGGTTTGAGGTTGGACTTCGTCGCCAGTAACCAATTACCGGACCGCACCTTCACGATTCCACTACTGTCCACTATCTTGGGTCCTGATGACACGGATGATCTTTCCCTGTGCCCAGTTCAGGCATTGCGATTATTCTTGGCTGCTTCTTGCAGGTTACGCAAGAGACTCTTCATCCGGTTGTCTACTGCCTCCACCTCGGAAGTCTGTCGCACCACTTTGGCGTTTTGGATGAGATCCACTATCCTGCGTGCCTATGCCGTCCTTCCTCCACCTTCGACAGCGAATCCTCATGAGACCCGGGCCCTAGCTTCCACCATGGCGCTTCATAGGAACTGTTCCCTTCAGGCAATCATGGAGGGATGTTATTGGAAGTCGGTTTCCGTTTTCGCCTCACACTATCTTCGGGATCGCTCGGTCACAAGCGTTGAGGGTCTGCACCAGTTCGGTCCTCTGGTCCTAGCTCAGCAGCTGTCATCGACCCGTGCTCGCAGATGAGAAGCACTCCTTCCGCGTGTTGGTTTTGCTTTCTGTACTTAATAAAAGATATCGATGTCATCTTTATCTTTGTACCTTTGTTATCTTGGGCTTAGACCACCTCACCTAGGGAACTAGGGTGTGTTTGCACTGTCATACCATGACTCGATAGACTGAGAGGTCAGTCTTGTGCTACATGCAGAGGTGGTCGACACTCCGCTTACTGACCTCTACTCTCTGAGCAGTTTTGTCAGTGAAGTGTTGATTTCCGATTACCTGTGTGGTTTTCGAAGCGCTCCGCTCCTAAGTCCTTTTTCACCTGGTAAGTTAGGGGGATTGGTACTGAACGATAAGCAAGTTCAGCAACCGGGCCATTCCCTCTTTCACCGCCTTCCAGCGTGTGTCTGTGGGGGGTAGTTTCGAAGCAGGGACAGTCCAGATTAAGGTCTTCAACTTTAATTCACTGGGGTCACTTGATAAATCGCGGTGAGGCGGGGTCTACTTGCCAAACTGCGTCTTTTTGCTTGTCAAAAGTTGCGGCTGAAAACCACATTAATTCGGGACCGCCCACTCCCTTGAGTTTTTGTGCTGTGTAAGGGGTTATCAGAAGCAACCCATCACAAGTTCGGAGTTAGCATATCGGGAGTTGGTGCTGTCTCCTGGCCTCCTTGTGCTATGCGACCTCACGGTTGTAGAGTTGACACAGGGTAATTGGAGGCCCACCAGCCAACTGTGGGATAATGCATACCGTGAGATAGGATAAGTTTAAAAATTTGGAAATTTTACTATAAATTGTATACTTATATACTTATCCCATCTCACGCGATGGATACCCACCCGACCTGCCCCTCTTCACAGATTACTGAAAGCTCCAAGATGAGAATGACAGGCACAGATCGTCACGTGATCATCTGAGCTATCTGCACGCTTATTGAGATGATTGACAGGTACTGCTATCGGAGTGGGGGCAGAGGTCAGGTGGTCAGAGGCCAGGAAGTTTTGATTCAACTTAGCCTACAGCACGTTTCCATACATGGTCGTAGAAGAAGAATAGAGGTGCATACCATGAGATAGGATAAGTATATAAATATACAATTTATAGTAAAATTTCAATTCTCTGTGTACATTCCATTAAACTCCTCACATGCCCAGGTTAAAGTGCAACACTGACAGACTTGCTCTGTTTCAGGACAACAACAAGAACAACAACAGCATGTCTGAGCCATCCACCCCATCTTCCGAAACATGCTTCTTCTCCCCCATCCAGCCATTGCCTCAGGGGACAGGGAGGGACATGCGGCGCTCATCAGAATCACCCGTCTCCTCGAGGGAACGACAACAACAGATAAATGGGAACATTAGGAGACAAAGGTAGACACATACACTTTACATATCTAAAGACAATGCCAGCAATGCTCCATCAGTACAGGGCAGTGGGGTAGCCTAGTGGTTAAAGCGTTCGCTCTTCACGCCGAAGACCCGGGTTCGATTCCCCACATGGGTACAATGTGTGAAGCCCATTTCTGGTGTCCCCCGCCGTGATATTGCTGGAATATTACTAAAAGTGGCGTAAACTAAACTCACTCACTCCATGAGTACAATATGTATTTGGAAACTAAGGACATTTTCATCTTATTACCGTATGTATAAAGAATTCAAAGTAGCTCTTGTTCATTGTTGTCAAGATTTCATGTATTGTGTCCTGTTACTCTCTCAAAATATAGTGAATTTTCATGGGCATTATGTCTTGTTATGGGCACAACTGGTGACCAACATTAAAATGAGAGTTTTAGGGGTGTAATTGTGTTTCTGTACATCAAGCCTTATCTAAATGATTATGATTGAGGTCGGGACAGATTAATAACTAGTCTTTACAATCAGCTGTATGGTTTAACAAGGTTGATGAGGCAGCTTTAGCATGTTCAGACAAACCAACATTACAAAAAAGGTCTACTGGTCTATTTAATTTTGATTAAGTAAGTATAAGCTTTTCATCAACAGGAGAACAAGCACACCGAAAAGAACATCAGAAGAAGGAGACAATCGACATAAAACTCCCCCTGGTGGTGTCATGGTGTTGGCATTTAACACAAAAGGGGAGAGAACTGTTCAGAGAGGAATGTGTCTTGGTAAAATAATTTGAGTTTTTCAGATTTATGTTGAATGAACTTAGATAGGGGACATTGAGTGTTGTGTTGAACACAAAATATCTAACTATGAAGATGTGGTTATTGCTATTTTTGGATGATGTAAAGATTTTATTACAAGTTTTGGTAATCACTGATTTTTATGCACATATTGTGTTTAATAATAGTGTGATTGTACTAACAAGAATCAGAAGTTGTTTTTGACAGTTTCATGACATGTTCTTGCTGAGGTTCTGCCAGGCTACTGTGATGTGTATATATATTTGTCAATTAATTCTTATTTGATAATTTTGTTTTGATTAATTCTTTTGAAGATGAACTGATATATTGTCTTGAACAAGATGTTTCTAACCCCAGATCACAACCCAAATGGCAGTACCCTGTATGCGGGAATGGATACCAGCACTGGAACTTTGGTATCGATATGTGAATGGGTGCTGAAATGGAGGCATTTTGCTAACAAGACAAGTCATATTGATATTGAAGAGGACAAGGATGCCACTTCTTACATGAAACAAGTATGTACATCAAATATAATCTCTGAACATTACCTGGGTTGTATAAAAGAAATGTTCAGTTAACACATCATCAGTGTTCAAACATAGTCTGTCTTCATTTTACCATGGACTTTACCATGTGGAGAGCCCCTCATGCTGTTATAAGTGTTGACAGATGAGGTTCTTGTGGTTACAATATGGGTTTGTGGTAGATATTAATGTTCTGACACCATGGATTGTTGTCTGTGCTGTCAACTACTGGTTTGCCCGGAATTGTTTGTTTACAGGCTGTCATGATATATGAGAGGTGTGTGATGACAGTGGACTTTATTTTGAAAATGATATGAAACTTTTAAACAATTTGATAGTCAAATGTTCAATAAACTGCAGTATGTAGTGACACCAGCAATCAGGTGTTCCATTGTCATTGCAGATTCACAGCATCGAACAGGAACTCATGTCTCTCATCCGCCTGCATCACCCCAATCTTGTCAACTACCTAGCCATGCGTTACCAGCACGACCCTGGGAAAATAACTGTACATGTAGGTAGAAAATTGGTGTGCCTGTCTCATCTGGGGGAGGTGTGAGAGAGTGGATCTCTGTGGAGTGGTGGGAGAGGGGGATTATTGGACATGTGGGTGGAGGCTGTGCCTCTCTCCTGAGGGAGGGGCAGGAGAGAATGTATCACTGTGGGAAGGTATGGGAGAGATGGGAATACTGGATGGGTGGGGGGTGGAGAGAGGGACCTCGCTGGCGAGGGTTGGGAGAGAATGTATCACTGTTGGGAGGGGTTTGCAGAGAGGAGATAACTGTGGGGAGGGGTCAGAGAGAGGGATTACTGTGGGGAGGGTCAGAGAGATGGGATCACTGTGAGGAGGGAGGGGGAGGGAGAGGGATCACTGTGGGAAGGGATGGGAGAGAGGGGGATCACTGTGGAGATGGGTGGGAGAGAGGGATCATTGTGGGAAGGGATGGGAGAGAGGGGATCACTGTGGGAAGGGATGGGAGAGAGGGATCACTGTGGGAAGGTATGGGAGAGAGAGAGGGATCACTGTGGGGAAGGGATGGGAGAGAGGGATCACTGTGGGAAGGGAGGGATGTGGGAGGGATGAGAGAGGGATCACTGTGGGGAGGAATGGCAGAGAGGGATCACTTTGGGAAGGGATGGGGAAGAGAGAGGGGATCACTGTGGGGAGGGGATGGGAGAGAGGGATCACTGTGGGAAGGGATGGGGGAGAGTTGGGGGGTTGGGGAGGGTCAGGGTTACTGTGGGGAAGGAATGGGAGAGAGGGGATCACTGTGGGGAGGGATGGCAGAGAGGGATCACTTTTGGGAGAGAGGGATCACTGTGGGAAGGGATGGGAGAGACAGGATCACTGTGGGAAGGGATGGGAGAAAGGGGATCACTGTGGGAAGGGATGGGAGAGAGGGGATCACTGTGGGGAGGAATGGCAGAGAGGGATCACTGTGGGGAGGAATGGTAGAGAGAGGGGACACTGTGGGGTAAGGGGGATGGGAGAGAGAGAGGGATCACTGTTGGGAGGAATGGCAGAGAGGGATCACTGTGGGGAGGAATGGCAGAGAGGGGATCACTGTGGGAAGGGATGGGAGAAAGGGGATCACTGTGGGGAAGGGATGGGAGAGAGGGATCACTGTTGGGAGGAATGGGAGAGAGGGATCACTGTGATGGGAGGGGGATCACTGGGGAGGAGAGGCAGAGAGGGGATCACTGTGGGAGAGGAAGATGTAGAGGGGTGGCAGAGGGGAGGGGATCACTGTGGGAGGAATGGTAGGAATTGTAGAGACGGGGTCACTGTGGGGAAGATGTAAGAGAGGGGATCACTGTGGGAAGGGATGGAAGAGAGGGGATCACTGTGGGAAGGGATTGAAGAGAGGGGATCACTGTGTGGAGGAACCATTTGTATTTACGCTCTTATCAATGCAGTGGTCAACTTTATTCTTTTTAGAATATCTTTCATACATTTACTAATGAGATTGAAACAAATGGCAAAACCCTTGTTTGTATGTTAGCCTCTCCTCGCAGTGATTTTCCATAGTAACGTCACACAACTGATATAGCAAAAGCCAATAATTGTTTTGATTGTTACTGATCCTTCACAACAAGTTCCAGGTGACGTTTGTTCTCGCACTCAGTAAAACAAACCGGTAGCAAAGAGTAGACTTGTTCCATGTTTGCTCGTGTAGTGCTAAACATACCCTGTGCTTTACAAGTGCCTGCCTTTAATACAGATCCTCAATGAGCTGGCTGGGGGCTACAGCCTGGAGAACTACCTGAAGAAGAACCAGGCTGTGCCCATGGAGCTACTGCGTTCCTACACAGATGAGCTGCTGCTGGCTGTCGAATATCTCCACAACAAGGCAGTTGTACATAAAGAACTTAGGGTAACTGATCCTACTGAACTTACTGTAAAGCTGATATTGAATGGAATGTATAGAAACTTGAATATGTTTCCTTTCATTGCTTTACAAATTTGCGGCTGTGGTAGCCTAGTGGTTACAGCGTTCACTCGTCACGCAATTTTACTTCAGAACTTATAATTTAGAAAATAATTTCTGAAATACTGAAATATAAGCCCAACTCTGTTTTTGTAGATATTGTAGAGCTGAAACTTGTTCTGACAATATTCTCTAATACATAAAATATATGATTTATATAAAATATATGATGTATATAAAATATATGATGCATGCTTATGCAGGCACCAATAGTTTGTATTTTTATTTGAACTTTCAGGCTTCCAGTGTGTTTGTAGATTTCTCAGGCAAGATAAGACTGGCAGATTTCAGCATCAACAAAAGGTGAAACAGTTAAACAAGAACTATCCACTGTAGTTTTTGACATATAAATGTTGTAATGTCTTCTCACAATCCAATATTGGTGTCAAGGCATAAACTTCTGTGAAGAAACATGGGTAGTGATAAATGCATTTGCCGATACCTGATATGCCAAACATTGTGAAATTGTCACTAAAATATGGACTGTGGGAAAAAAATCTCATAATATTTGTTAAGTTTGACCATGTTTGTGGAAACAAGATTTCTGAATTGCCTTGTGAGGATTTCAGGACAGGTCCAGTCTTCTAGGCTTCTCCAGTAAAAGCTGAAACCTATCTCTCACTGTATTTTGTATTATCCAGGTGTTAATTTCAGTGATACTGACTGATGTGATTACTAATTTCACACTCTCTCTATTACAGACTGTCTGACCTTTATGAGACAGTCGAGAAGGCACGACCAGGTGTACACTTTCAGGATATACGTCCATCTGTCATTGGCAAGGGAGGCAAGAAGGCAGACATCTTCCAACTGGTAAGTCCTGACAGGACATGTCATGAAATGAGATAGACTTCTTTCTGCTAAATATTGTAAATATATTCTCCATCATGCTTGACATCAGACTGACTTACTCAGGCAGGTAGTGTCATACTGATTAGAGAATCTTCTTTTTCCACCAAATAATGAAAATCCTGAATATCTTACTCCATCACAACATAGGACTAAATGAGATTAATCCACTGTGTTTTTAATTTCAACGTTTCAATTTAGAATATGAAAAATAAACAGGTTGAAAATGTCTGTTTAGAGAGTTGGTTTGTCTCATTCTGGTATGACAAATTGAAAAATTGAGGACTCCTCAAGGAGTAAAGAGGACTAAGTGAAGTAAGTCAAGTGAAAGTGATTAGTCGTTTGACAAAGAGGACACTGGATTGAAGTTGTCAAGGAATGTCTGGCTCTGTTTGTGCATGTCCAGATTCACCGTCTTCTTGTTTGTTTGTGAGATTTTCATGTCATTTTCAATGCTTGATTATAATAACCGCACAACTGTAAGTACAATAGGTCCTTCTCCTAGTTTTCTACAAGTTGTCATGTCTTCCTGCCTACAGGGCCTGATGGTGCTGTCCCTGGCTGAAGGGCAGCGTGTTGAGGATATACAGCCAGTCATTCCAACAACCCTTCCTGCTCAGCTGCATGACTTTCTCACCAAGTTAGTCATCACTTTGTTCATATGAATGTATTCTTCTCATTAGGGTAGACACCATGTTCTTTGAAAATCTATAACATCATGGTCATTGTAATTTACACCCTCACATTCAATCAGGAGACAGAGTCTTAGTCAGTATTTTCAGCTGCTACAAATCCTTTGTGTTATTTAGGAGATAAACATCATGTGTTGGCCAATTTCTGGGTGTTATTGAGTATTTGAAGCACGGGAATTCATTTGGAACCGACGTCATTAGCTGGAGGTTTCAAATGAAATATTTCCATGCTTCAAATACTCAATAACACCCGGAAATTGGCCAACAAATGATGTATAACGACATTGTAAACACAAAAGTAAACCAAAAGGTCCACACATAATCCTTTTTCATTAGGTTGTGAAGAGTTATCCCCCTTTGATTACTTGCTAGCAGACGACATTTTCAGTGATCCTCGGTATGGATGATTTAGAGAAGAGGAAGTTGATTTTAGAGGATTATAACAAGGACATCAGATCAGCTAAAGTGATTTCAAGTAGAACAGGCATCCCTTTGTCCACTGTTTATCGTGTTTTGAAAAATATTGCAAATGGATATGGCATTGAGCACCAGGGAGTCGCAGGTAGGCCCAGAAAATTGTCTGTCGGTGACAGGAGGCGGCTTGGTATTCTTGTTTCTAAAAACAAACGAAGGAGTTTAGAAAACTTAAGGCTGGATATGATTGATAGAGGAACTGCGGCTGTCTGTAAGGAGACAATTAGAACTGAGCTGCATGCAATGGGTTGGCAGAAAAATCGAGGAATTCCATCAACGATCATGAAACCTGAACAACAGGAGCAAAGGTTGAACTGGTGCATAGATACAGCATAGATATTTTAACTGGGACAATGTGATTTTCTCAGATGAATGTTCTGTGTGGCTGTTTCCTAATACACTGAAATTCTGGACCAAACAAACTGAAAAACCTTTATATCAACGCCCAAAGTACAGTCCAAAATTTAACATGTGGGGTGGCATATCTGTGTTAGGGGCAACGCCCCTCTGTGTATTTGAAGGGAATATGAACAGTGAGCGGTACACAGATATTCTCGAGGGACATTTACTTCCATCTGCTCACGTGTTCCATGGAAATGTTTGGATTTTCCAGCAGGACAACGACCCAAAACATCGTTCAAAGCATTCACAGGCCTGGTTTCGGACCCATAGTGTGACATTACTACAGTGGCCAAGCTATAGCCCTGACCTAAATCCAATAGAAAATGTTTGGGGACTTATGAAGGAAAGTGTCAATAAAAAAAAATCGGACAAATATTGCTGAAATGAAAGAAGAGGTGGTCCTATATTGGGACAGCATGGACCACGACTTTCTAACTTCTTTGATCAGTAGTATGCCCCACCGCATTGAAGCCTGCATTGCTGCCCATAATGACTTGACAAAATACTAACTGTTCACCTGTCTTTTAATCAGGAGTTATGTTCTGCTAATATTCATATTAATACATCAACTGATGCCTACACAATAAGTTTGCTAGTCGATTATATTAATGGCATTAGTAAAACAGTTAGATTTCTGTCTATGATCATGATCGTCCCAATAGTCGCCTCAAAGATGTACACATTCTCATGGGTTTGTGACTACCTCCAGATGCCTCATGCAGGATGAACGTCATCGCTGGTCAGCTAGTCAACTTCTGGACCATAACTTCCTCAAAGAACCATTGCCAGGGACCATTCCTATCAGACCAGCTGACCAGGAACGTTTACAAAAGGTGGAGCAATGGGTTGTTTCCTCATATGTATATAGAGGAATGCTTCCTCACATTATTACATTTCCATAAACATCAGCATACTTAACTCAGTGTTAGAAATAGTCTTAAATTCATTGCGTTCAGGGCTCAGTCACTGTACAGTATAAATATACAGGGTAAAGACTATGTATATAATATGAATATGATAATAAGTGTCAAGAGGACACAAAGTCTGTGAAGGGTTATGTCCCTTTGATGCTACTATCCCATGGTTGTGAGTCCTAGTCTCCGAGTCACCTTTAACATGAATATTGATCTATCTATGTATTTTACGCATAATTTAGGGCTCATCCCCAGAATTCAGCTGGCTTGCCTTGATGTAACTTAAGTACTGTTTAAGTCTACGTTTCACTATTCACTACTGTGGACCATTGCACCTAATTTCTTACACTTCCTGAACAGGATTGAGTCACAACTGAATTTGATACAAGTGAATACTGCTGGAATATGTCTAAAACAAGCTAAAAACTCAATACACTCTCTTACAAAACATACTTTGTTGTGACCTATGATATTATGCCTTACACAGATACCAAAGAACAGAACAAGAATGAGGATGAGGAAGACAATGGTTGTCTCCCCTATGTGCATGTGACGGCCCTTGAGGCTACAGGACAGTCACGCCTCACTGGGGAGTTTGAAATACTCAAGTCACTAGGCAAGGGAGGCTTTGGGGATGTGATCAAAGTGAAGAACAAGCTCGATGGACGGATGTATGCCATCAAAAGAATACCCCTCAACCCCAAGAGTAAACAGTTCAACAAGAAGATCACGCGGGAAGTAAAGCTGTTGTCAAGACTCAACCATGAGAATGTTGTCAGGTAGTGTTAACTGTTGGCAGAGATTAGTCAGTCTGTATGGGGTTTACTATGTTGATCATGATAAATTGGGTATTTGATTGGCATTAGAAGTTTGCATGAAATTGAGACAAAAAATATTATAGTTACAAAGCTAAGTTCTTTAGCATCATTAATTGTTTTGTTGCCTCTTGCTCTTCATCAGTTAATGACTGATTCACCCAATGAAGGGCAACAAGTAGCCCTGAAATGGTTTGCTATCAACAACATTCATATCTTCATGGATAAATTAGGATGAAGGACCTGTAATGTTTAAACATGTTTTGATGCCAATTGTAAAGATTTTATTATACAACATTCAGTGCATGAAGATGCGCATGCCATCCATGATACTTATACTTACTTTACCCTCAGTTCTTTATATAATGTGTATAGTTATGGAGTTGAGTAAAGTATTACCCAGTATGTGATGCTTATAAGCAAAGTATTAGATGATGGGTTATATGTAAAGTATTACATGACTGGTTGAAAGTAGAGTATTTCATGATTGGTTATAAGATTGGAAAAAAGGTCCTGATTGAACACTTTGTGTATTTAAGAAATACAGTTCGCTCTACCACCATGTATAGTGTAATAAAGCACACGTTTGCCCTGAACTATTATAGTTAAAGCACGAGGACGCTTACAATATACATGGTGGTAGAGCGAACTGTATTTCTTTCCTAAGATGCCAAATTTAATACTTTCTACGGATAATTACGTTTAATCTAAGGCAGAAAACAAACGACGGTGTCGGTGACATAAACTAAGAATCCTCGCACAGGGCTAACTGACGCTCTGTTCTATTGACGTATCTGCCCCCTCTACGTTAAGACAAACGTTACCAGAAAAACAAATGATAAACAGTTTGATGACAGTTTATGTTCAGGTTAAATATCTTCTCTTAAGTATTTTAATTACATATGTGATTAACGTAAACCATATGGGGCAATATGAACGTGCATTTCTACTACCAACATAAGTTTAGATCAGTACATCCAGATGAAGCTGACTAGTCAAGCGACATTCCATGATTGCGTTGTGGGAATGTAAACATTGCAAACGTTACCGTGTAGCTGTAAAATTGTGAGTCGAACTGAGACATTTTATTCATCGGAATACATAAACGTAATGTTTCCACCAGTGATGTTAGCTGAGTGAAGCAACTGCAAACCAAGAAACTGGATGCAACGGAGTAGTTTAATGTAGGAGGCTGTACGAGGCGATGACAACTGACATGCATTGTGACGTTGGTTACATTGTGACGTAATGCAAAAGTGTTCAATTACGAGGGAGCAGACTAGAATGGCGCAGTGACGTCAATACATTGTGATGTAATGCAAAAAGTGCACATTATCGTCTGATAAAGTACTGTCGGTGCCTTTGATCTTTCATCGAAACACCTCAGAAAGGTACACAAGGCTATCACTACGCGCCATTATGTCATTTCATACAACTAGTCCCTGGGTGTCTTACTGTTCACTGAAGAATGGTTTCAGGTGTATAAACCATGTTACAGGCATTCATTAATCACATGTCTCTTATAACTTATGATTTTCACAGAAAACAGAACCAATTTGAGAGACATTTCATTATTATCAGATAGGCCTGGCAGCCATAGACCCGTGAAGATCCAGGGTAATATCAGTCTTCAGTAACCCATGCTTGTTGTAAGATGCCACTAACTGGATCGAGCGGTCAGACTCGCTGACTTGGTTGACACATGTCATCATATCCCAATTGTGTAGATCGATGCTCATACTATTGATCACTGGATTGTCTGGTCCAGACTCCATTATTTACAGACTGCTGCCATGTAGCTTGAATATTGCTGAGTGCAGCGTTAAACAACAAAATCAAAACAAGCCTAATACAAGGGTATGTTTGCAGGTATTACAACTCTTGGATAGAAGTAAGTGAGGAGCCTGCTCAGAGTGACACAAGCTCCAGCTACACATCGAAGACAACCGAATCAAGCCAGAAGAAATCAGCTTCTTCATCCAACTATGAACAAAACAGTTTTGGCGTAACAGATGACATTGAGCGAGAGGCACCTAATGCCATTGATGGGTCAATGGAATGGAGCGTCAGTTTAGCATTTGACACAGCATGTCAGAAGTGTCTTGCCTCTGATTCTGATGATGATGATGAAGATGAACAAGATGTATTTGGGAAGTCTTTCTTGTAAGTTCTTGCTTCCTTCATCTTATTCTTCAGCATAACAGTGAGGGAATAACCTTAATTATTACCCATACGGTCAAACATAACCAGTGTCATATATATCATATGTGCACATGTGCACATATCACTTTTGCCAAGCAACCATTGTTTCTGTATTTCATCCTCTGTGACGTCATCAGAAAATTGAACGTGACGCCAATGAAGAGGGCCATCACACTTGCTTTACATGTATTTAAGATGAAGTTAAAAGCTAGTTTTAGCCACGATATGGCTGAAAAATTGCCAATGTGACTTTAAATAGTAACTCACTCACTCACTCATGGTGTATATTTATGTTTGTTCTTAAAGTCTACAATAGTCTCTCATAACCCTAAACGGGTGGCTCACTTTTATTCTGTATTAGAGCCTATATATGTCCTGTATTTTACAAGTGAGGTGGGACTCAAATAAATAATCTGTCTGTCTGTCTGCTTACAGTTCATTACTGCACAAACGTACAGGGATATAATGGCTAATAAAGTATCCGCTCTCGCTGGGGCAATACAAAATTTCACACTCATTTTGTATAAGTGATATGACACACTTGCTTGTGTAATAATCTCTATATCTAAACTTACTTGAGAAAAGACATTTGTATTTCTGATAGTGATCTGCATATGTAATTGTAGTAATAGTTGTTACTTTAGAGCTGCCACACTGGTAAAACGCGAAATATTATGGATGACAACTTCTTCTTTATTGTATGTCACAACGTTTCTGGGCTATTCCTTGCCTCTTTGTCAGGTGAATTGCAAGATACATCAATGAGTATATATACTAAATGTACAAGAAGCCAGTGTTGCATGTATATACAATAAATTGGATAAGAAGCAGATGAAAGAGTGAGATGTACAGATGATGGGCATTGTTTATACAAGAGAAGAGTTTAAACAAGTTACTAGCAGATGTGGGTAGAAGACAGTAATGACCTAACTGACTTCCCAGGTACTGGGGAGGTACACTCCTTGATCCCTGTTCAGCTGCGGTTATAATTGTCTTATCGTTAAAGACTCTAATAGTTTGCACTTGCGCCAATCATGGAAGTTAGTCGTTAATATGGTTGATTGTTGCCAGTCAATGGAGTGAGTAGGGTTTTTGACGATGTGCGCTGAGAGAGCTGATTTTTGGTCCATTTTTTGTACAGATGTTTTGTGCTCCTTCAGTCGTATGCCAAATGGGCAGGATGTTTCACCTATGTATGTGGAGCCACAATCACAGTGCAGTTTGTATATGTAAACTGCGGTGACCGGACAAAATCCACCTGGACAAAATCCACCCAGACAAAATCCACCCCAAAATTGCCACCCCGGACAAAATCCACCTCTTCTTAACAAAAAAATGGACAAAATCAACCCTTCTCAAATTGCTATTGTTAAAAGTTTTAGTGTGTCCTGATCTTTGATCAAGTTGTTTTGCTCAAGCATTGCAAGCATTGTTTTGATAGCATTTTCGTTTTCCTAATTGGCTGTTGTTCCTAGATGTTGTTTCAAACATGAAAGGTTTCTCCATTTGTCACATTTTGATCATTACTTAATCCTCTTTCATGTATCATTAAGTAGTCTCACACTTTGATCATTACGTAATCGTCATCGATTATGAATGACTGATATGAATAAAATTCATTTCTGTGACTAAACATGTCATTATTATTTTTTTCTTAGGGTGGAATTTGTTAGGGGTGGATTTTGTCCTAGGATGCAATTTTGGGGTGGATTTTGTCCGGGTGGATTTTGTCCAGGTGGATTTTGTCCTGGATTCGCAAACTGCAGTACCTCTGCCACACTGGGCCTATGTGCTGCAGTTTGTTTTCCAGAGTTGTTGCCCTTACCTGTGTCAGGAGACGAAGTAGGCGATCTGTACAGCATCAGCATCACTCAGGGCTTTCCTAACATATTAAGCTCACACGCTGTGATACAACTGAAATTACCAAAGCAAACAAAATACCATGCACCCCATTTTCATGGTGTTTCAGGCCAGTGTTGGATAACTCTGACAGTATCGTTTTTGAGACAGATGGCTCTAGTGAACAAGCTGCCACAGAATCAGAACTGGTGAGTGTCCAGGGTAGATGTATTATCACGTGTGACATCTAGTGCCTTGCAAGCATAACTCAAATGCTGTTGTCATACATATAGAAGAGTGCAGAGAATGTCTAGGAATATCTACTTATGCATGAAGATGAGTTTGAACATAATAACATGAACATTCCAAAACCGTTATTTAATTTAAGTAATGTTCTGGTTCTTGTACAAACATTATGATACTGACTGCTGTTTGGTTCACGTCAGCCAGTAAATGAGATTAAGTTTGTGTGCAGAATCTACCAATTAATCACTTTTGTCCTTCCAGAGTGTGAAGAATGTCCAGAAGCAGGAGACAGCCAGTACCAACACACAGGAGTCCTTCATAGAGATTGTGCCCAAACTGCAGTACCTTTATATACAGGTATACATTTACTGTGTACTCGTTGAACCTGTCAGTACTCTTAGTTATTCATTTTAAGGGGAACATAAATAGTGTTATGTATCACTTGTACAGTTATTATTTGTGTTGTTGTATTTGTGATTGTGTTACTGACTTTGTTAATGTATATCAGTTTGTTCAGTCACTACTTTGACTGACTTAGATTCAATTATATAGTTGAAATCTTTTTTGACTGATGTGTAAAACATTCTCTACCTCTCACGTATGTGTCATACGAAGGATATCAAATTCCAGTACTTCCATCCGCAAGTTGCAATTAAAGATGATATTATTGAGTTGAGAACATTCTATATTCCGTCAGGGGATTATGTCATATTTGACGAAAAGGGAATGGTGCTGTGACATTCTGGCCAGCTGTTGTCATTGTATACCAGGGTGGTGGGGTAGCCTAGTGGTTAAAGCTTCGATCATCTTAAGAACTGGATTCGCTTCCCCACATGAAGCCCATTTCTGTTGTCCGCCATGATACTGCTGGAATATCACTAAAGGCGACAAAAAACTACAAACTCACTTACACACTGTATTGTATTCCAGATGGAGTACTGTGAGAAGAGCACCCTAAGGAACTGTATAGATGCCGGACTGTACCAAGATGTTACCAGGGTCTGGAGGCTCTTCAGGGAGATCGTTGAAGGACTCATTCACATTCACGAACAGGTTGGTCTGTCAGGAGTCTGTTGAAAGTGTATGCTCAGTGTTTGTGCATGGCACATGACTAATGTGGGTCAAATAGCCAGGTTGTTGAATACACCGATGTCATTGTACCCAGGTGGTGCTGGGCGTTGCCATGCTAATCACCTCTGGGTTGTCTGATTGTCTACAGACTGTTATCATATATCTGGAATAAGGCCTGTGGAAACTGAAGATAGGTGAATTAGAAAATGAGATAAGAAAATCATGTGAGTTTTAAAATTCAGGGAGTAGAAACACCGTTGATGTGACCTTTCTGTGACGTTGCAGTTGTTACGCTATCATAGCTTTGTGCATGTTGGCCTTGATTTGTTTATCTATTTACCACTGATCTTCCTGGCTACACTGTGACAGTCCAAACCCATCAATCCACACACTCCTCACTCACTCACTTTGTGTTTCAGGGTATGATACATCGAGACCTGAAACCAGTTAACATCTTCTTGGACTCCAACGATCATGTGAAGATTGGTGATTTTGGTTTGGCAACCACTGACATCATTGCTAAGGTACCTGCATGAAACTGTGATAATATTTCCACAAAGTAATAACATGTAATATCCTCACTCTGTCTGTAAGGATCTAGAAATAGTCTTGGCTTTCAGCCCCTCTACACAAAACCATCCACCTTACTTGATTTATTTTCCTGAGAAACAAGGAAGACTATAACACCAAGATAGTACATACTTGACATATTTTCACTGTAAACTCCACCTCCTGTAGCAGTTTCCTGTACCTTTATCATCCCAAACTTCCACACAAGATACTGCAAGTAGGTGAGGTGAGGTGAAATGGGGTTTAAGAATATTTCGATCATGTGACGACATGCATGCGTGTGTATGTGTGGCTGCTTGTACTAGCCCAGACTTAAGCTGGTTTTATAGTGCTAGCTCACTGAGATACCATGCCACAGTTAAGCATGAATACCCCACTCAGACACATTATACTGACCCCGAGCTGACCAGTCCTTGTTGTACCCAGTAATGCCGAACGCCAGGCAGGGACAAACAAGTACCATATTTTACTGTCTTTTGGTATGACGCGGCTGGGGATCGAACCTGCGACCTTCCGCTCTCCGGACAGACACTCTAACCACTACACCACAGAGGCGGTAATTTCTGGTTACAAATGCAGGGGTGCAAATAACTTTAAAATTGTTAGTGTACTCCGGTACAGTGGCACATGTAAAATCACTTGCCCTGGTAAGTTTTCCACTCTACCGGCCGTTTTCTTGTTGATTTTTTAAATAAACAATATTATTAACATTGGAAAGTCAACTGGACACCGGTACAGCGTGATATACAAATTTGCTTGCCCGACAGAAAATAACACTGGACTCGGACGTCGGGCAATGGGTTATTTCCACCCCTGAAATGCTGAAGAAGTTGAAAGATTTTGGATGATCAGTAGGATCTTCTAGCATTGCTGTTTATTGAGATATTGAATTTACAGGTCACACAATGATCAAATAAATATAGCCTATGTTTCTGAGTGACTTCTTTAAGTGTCATTTGGAAGCTGGTATGATAAAGAAGATCAATTATTATGGATTGACAACTTCGTTATTGCAATACATGCAACATTTTGGTGTAGATGCTAACACCATTATCAAGCAAGATATATCAAACACTTGCTTGAAGCTTCAACTTGTATTTCAGAGTGGTTTGTTGGATGCTAGTTTCCCTCAGATGACATACTCTGACATCAATCTCCTCAGCACGTCTCGGTCTGGGAGTCTTGGTGATGGCAATATGACGGGGCAGGTGGGGACGGCTCTGTATGTCAGTCCTGAAGTTATGACTGGAGGCAACAAGCTGCACTATGATCAGGTCAGTGCTGCTAGAGACAGCTCTCTGTGTCCGTGATAACCTCATAGTTGTAAATATTGACTTTCAGAAACAAAACAACAACTAAATATTCCACCATAAGAGTTGCATACAATTTTCCCACTCATTAAAAAGTAAAAATCTATTTTTCCTTATCCTGACTCATACTTATTGCTTATCTCCCCTTTCTCCCCCCGGGAGACAGGGGAGATAAGCAATAAGTATGAGTCAGGATAAGTATAAAATATTTTTATAACAAAAATTATTTGTTCTTCAGAAAGTAGACATCTACAGCTTGGGTATCATATTCTTTGAGATGTGCTACCAGCCTCTCCCTACAGGCATGGAGAGGGTGAAAATCCTGGGCAATGTGAGGGCAAATGTTGTCTTCTTCCCCGAGGACTTCGATGAAATCGAGATGGCTAACCAGGTAACCCTTGTCAAGTAGAAAGATCCGGGTATCACCTAGCATATATGACAATTACTCATTGAAAAACTCAAATAAAGGACAGACATCCACATTTTAAGAAAAACCCAACATTTTCAACAGCAGAAAAAGCATATGTGTACCCCAAGGAAGACTCTCATCAAAGAATTGGGATGGTGAGGTAGCTTAGAGGTTAAAGTGTTCGCTCATCACGCCGAAGAACTGGGTTCGATTCCCCACGTGGGTACAATGTGTGAAGCTCATTTCTGGTATCAGCTGTTGTGATATTGCTGGAATATTGCAAAAAAAAACCGGAATAAAACTAAACTCACTCACTCACTCACTTGAAAACCCCTTCATTTCGGCTAAAGTTTCTTGATTTGTTATTCAAGGTAAAGAAAAAGTCAATAGTTTTTATTACATGGTTATTTGTTTCCACTCCAGGCCAGTGTGATTCGCTGGCTGCTGAACCATGACCCCAGCCGGCGCCCCACATCCAAAGAGTTGCTGCAGTCAGACTACATGCCACCTCCACAGATGGAGGAGGCGGAGCTAAACGAGATCTTGCGCTCCACAATCGCCAATCCACAGTCCAAGGCGTACCACCGGATGATGGAAGCTGTGTTTGGCCAGCAAGTCTCACCAGCCAGTGACCTCTCTTATGACTTTGAGCTGGTGAAGGTAGGAGAGATATATCAAACTTTCTGGAGCATAATGTTTCTAATTTTGATGGTAAAGGGTATCTTAAATTTGGCAAAAAGAAAGTGGAAAATAAGACCACTAGTATATCTTCTTTCAAAGATTTTCCTGGCAAATAACTGTGTTTGAATGCCAGAAGCAAACACAAAAATCTTCTTATGTGGGTTGATGTGAAGTTAAATTCCTAAAAGAATTCTTTTGAAAAATTGATAAAAAAAACAACAAAGAATAGTTTTTCATAATAATATAGAAAAACTTTAATGTCTGCATTGTTGAGTGTATTTTCATTTAGTTAGATGTTTACCTGACAAAAGTAATCCTGCAACATATTTCTGGTGACTTTTTAGGGCCTGTTTACCCTAAAGTCCTCCCAGCTGCAGATGTCTGTCCACAATTCCCTGAGGCGAGTGTTTGAGCTTCACGGTGGGACCAAAGTTGCAACACCTTTCCTCATGCCTCAGTCCGACCTGTACAAGAACAACGACCAATACGTGCGCCTCATGGACCACAGTGGCGGCCTTATTGGGTTGCCGTATGATCTCAGGGTATGTCTTAGTCCCATATATAAATAAACCTCAGCTCTTGATAACAGACTTGGCAGGTGATGGTCCAGAGACTACTGACTGCATATATTCTTACCAAGCCTAAGCCTGGCTTGTAAATAATCGAGTCTGGACCAGAAAATCAAGTGATTGACATCATGAGCATCGATCTAAGCAATGGGGATACAATGACATGCATCGACCAAGTCAGCGAGTCTGATCACCCAATCCCATGAGTCATCTCTTAAGACAAGCATGGGTTGCAAAAGACAAATACTCAACAACCTCAAGCTGCCAAGGACCATCTTTCCTTTTTGAGATAAGCTCTAGGTAATGATATATTGTGAATTCTGTTGGGTCTGAACAAATAGCCAACCTTTATTGGTTATTGTAGTGTGTGTTAACTGTGATTCCTAACCCTGTAACATCTTATTCCTGAAGTATACTGAGGGAAAACAATAAGGGATCACATGAAAGCATAAGTGTTCCCTTATTTGTTTCCAGGTTTCTTCACAAGCTATGTGATACAAAGCTTGTGAAGAAACCTGGAAAAAAATAAAGGAACACTTGTCCTTTCGTGTGATCCGTTATGTTTTCCCTCAGTATATATAACAGGAGTTAAAACCAATTCAGTGCAGTACTCTAAGAACAAGATATAGTCAGTCAAGGTGTATTTTAGAACATGTCTACATGTGTAGGGTTTTTAGACTCTCAAAGTTTCTACCTGTCTCTGTAAACCTCAGGTCACAGGATAGAACACATGCATGGAAATGTCATATCGTCTAGAGGGGTTTATGGAGTGACAGAGTGAGTTTAGTTTTACACCGCTTTTAGCAATATTCCAGCAATATCACAGCAGAGGACACCAGAAATGGACTTCACACATTGCACCTGTGTGAGGAACTGAATGCGGGTCTTTGGCATGGTGAGCGAACGCCGACCTGGTTTATGAAGTACTTGACAAGACTAACGATTCTTTGCAGGTTCCCTTTGCGAGATACATAGCAAGAAACAATATACTGAATCTGAAGAGGTACAGCTTGGAGCGGGTTTTCAGGGAGAAGAAATTCTTTGGCTTGCATCCACGTGAAATGACGGAGTGTGCATTTGATATCATCACTCCAACTCCAGGGAGGTGTGTCCTGTTTAATGTGTTCATCCTTCTGACATTAGTCTGTATCATAGAGAAGGGGCCCTCTATAGATGTACTCATACTTTTGACAGTATACAGTCTTATTTAGATCAGATGTCAGTTTTCTGGCATAAGAGCAGAAATGTACCTTACGTTCATGGAGAGCTTCAAAGGGGAGGCAATTCTGTGTATTTCTAACCTCTAAAAAATACCCGTCCAAAACTCTGTTACAGATGATGTCTCATTGGAAAAGACCCTTTATAGGTTTACTCATATGGATGATAATCAACAATCTAATAAATTAGATGTTACTATTCACAACTGCTACACAGAAGTCTGGGGACATTACATTACAGGTCTCTTCAGTGCCACCATTTATGCACTATAAATGACCAGTGAAATGGGTAACAAGAAGATAACATTCCCAAGTCAAAAAGAAGTTTTTTCAGCACTAGTTTTGAAGTGGAGACATGTAATCCAGACTACTTTTTTAAAAAGTATTTTGTCAAAGTTCTTGATTCAAAATGTGAAAATTGAAGTGTAGAAAACTCTGGTATGTCTAACATACATATGACTTTCATGATCTTAATCTGGTAAGCAACACTGTGACCGGTCAGATAAAAGGTCGTTCTGACATGACCCCAAACAGGATGTCCTCCGATCTTTGTCTAGCGGCAGCCTGAACTAAGGTCTAGTTTAAATCAGATTAATGAATAAATATTGCTTTCATATCACTCTTGATTTCTGTGGAAAAGATTCCTCTATCACTCCATCAGGAAAATTAAGAAAAATGTGACGAAAGAATTCTTTTTAATGCAAAATTCGTTCTCCGTGTTGATCTCTGAATGTGTTGTGCCTACAGCTTGATCCCTGATGCTGAAGTGCTGGTGATAGTCCAGCACTGTATCAAGGAGTTCCCTTCACTGCACGTAAGTCCACATGTGTACCATGATAACAGGATTGAGGTGTATCATCCCCAGGGAGTTGAGAGTGAAAATTAAGGGCACTCTGATTGGTTGACTTGGAGGATAATGTAATGCTCTGTACATGCTTTGAGTGAGTGGATATGGCACATTATAAATGTGCATATTATTCATGAAAATACAAAAGACAAAAAACTTGCAAGTCTCAAAGTATGTTATAGTGTCTCTCCAGACACATTCAGGGTACAGTTACAAGTTTTGTGTATCTCTCTTTTTTTTTATTATAAGTGAGTGAGTATGGTTTTATGCCGCTTTTAGCAATATTCCAGCAATATCACAGCAGGTGACACCAGAAATGGGCTTCACACATTGTACCCATGGGGGGAATCGAACTCAGGTCCTTAGCGTGATGAGTGGACGCTTTAACCATTAGGCTACCCCACCGCCCCTTGAATTATGAGTGATAGAAATACGCTTATTTCAAAATGAGCCACATACAAAATTCCCAGATATTATAAATACACACTGGAACCTCTACAATCAACAGACGGAGTAATTATTACTATATTCACAGACAATGTAATCCTCTTATGCCAATTAGTACTCCATGTTACATCCCGTTGGCTCCTCACAGGCACAGAACTGCTACATCCGGATGAACCACCACTGTCTGCTGAGGGCGGTACTGCTGCACTGTGGGATCCCAGACGAGAAGCACAAGGCTGTTCTATCTGTGCTTGCTGAAGTCCAGGTACCCAAACAATCACTCTCATTTACCTCATCCAGGGACTAGATATCGAAAATTTACATCAAAGCTGAATTTCTAGTGTATGCATTGCCTAACTGTTTTCCTCAGTTGATTAAATTGCCTTAATGATTTGTGTCCCTTAATGTCAATAGGATCCGCTGATAGTAGATTCAAATCCCTTAATCTTCATAATTGTGATCTTGGTTTGTCTACTTCAAACAAGTCGTAGGTTTCACCAAAGTGATCAATGACATCTTTGGCATTTTTCCTCGAAACATGAATATAACTTGTTCTTATCTACCTGAAATAATTGTTCAAGTGCCATTAAGCTCACTGTAACCATCTGGTGTAACACAGCTCTTCCCACTGTTTAGTTCAACAAGCTGGATCGTCAGACAGCCCTTGAGAGCCTGAGTGAAGTGAGCCTGACTGAGTCGAGCCAGGCCACCCTCACCATGCTGCTCGACCTGGAGGGGCAGTACGGCAAGGTGGCAAGCTTCCTCCGCATCATCACCAAGACCAAGGGGCTGGTCAGTGCATAGCCAGTCTCTCTACAAACTTATCGGGTCGGCCATTTATGCTGATATGGTTCAAAAGCGGCTAGTTGACTGCTATCTGATTGATACTTAATGGTAATAAAGAACTGAGAGGTGTCAGGTATTGGAATTGATAGAATAATCACTGAAACCAATGTAGCTATCACATTTTTGTGCATGATTTGCAATTTCCCTTTAGAAAGAGCTATACAATATGGGCAGTACTGTACTTAGCATCTAACTTTGTTTTGAGAGATATAAAGGATAGTGCATTTCTGACATGCATAATATTAACTGATTTGGAAATATTTAAGCAACAACACAAGGCCCAGTGCAATCACCTCAATCCTATTCTCTTCTCCTTAGCTCGAGGATAAAATTCTCATCTTAAGGGTTGCTCAGCAGAATCGCTGTACATTGTCTGTTTTGAGCTGACAATGGATATTATGCTACATAGACCAAGCCCACAACTTGACTGCCCAAATGATACCTAATGGGACCTGAAGTGCTCTTTAAATGATATTCATTGGGGAGAGGCAGACCTCACAGAGTAATTATCACACTTATATAGCTTCTGGTACTGTGTGAAGTCACGCTTTACCAGGTATTAACAATGATTGATCCAATAATTATCAAGAATCTACCGGTACTGATAATTATTCGCATGAGATGTTACATTCTTTATTTTTCCTTATCCTGACTCATGTATTATTGCTTGTCTCCTTTCCTTCCCGAACGTTAGTGGAACACTTGTATCTCCTTTTTGAAGCTCCCCTTCAATAAAGCAGACGTAAAATCACTACTCACCATGAGTTGTCTTCCTCTCAGTTTTGGCGGGAAAACGGCGCCACCCGTCTTCCCACGCTTCACTCTCTCCTTCTTCGCCCTAGTGGACGGTTGGGAGAGCACCTGTGTCTCCAATACGGCACTATATCCTTTGATAACTTAGTTATTTCCCTATAAGTTACCTTATAAGGTTTCAGGGAGTATCCTTCTACAATATGGTTTGAAATTTATTCGTAATTTGACTGTTTATTCACGGTTTTACGTGATTGTTCAGTTGTTTACATTTCATGAAAACCTTTTTTTTCGTTGTAGGTTATCTGCTGCAGACCTGCATTTACTGTGCCCAGTTGCACAACAATATGTACTTCCAGCTCTCGCTGTAACTTATGTCAGCAATTAACACAAATTTATTTTAATAATTATTTTTTCTCTGTACTTAGGTGTGCTAAGGATAAATCCAGACGACTTTTGCAAGTCATGGATAAACCGGCTGAGTCCCTGAAGAGCTGTCTATCGTTGTCAGACGACATACTTCCATCCAGTGACAAGGTCGTCAGATAGATCATCAAGAATGTCACCACATAGGAATATATTGCCTTCGCAAAGGCAACCCTGGACATGTAGACAGCGCACCTCCACGCAGGTCGCCATACAGATCTCCTCTTAGAACTACACATAGTTCTACGTACTCATCTCCACACAGATTGCCACACAGATCTCCATGCAGGGAGGATACTCAACGATCATATCCAACTGGACTTGATACAGAGGATGATGGTGGAATCAAAGAGAATGAAGCATTCACGTACCTAATGAAGGATGATGATGTAGACACAATCACCTTACCTCCGGTCTCGGGACGTACCTGAGGACTTTGACGCAGCCTTCAGGAAGGCAACAAAGTTCCAGTCTCCAAATATCCCACAGTTCAACGCAAAAAGCCACAACACTCTCAGATGCGTCACTACATGGGTATTTTTTATGCAGCAAATGATGGACCTAATGGACGGTTCGCGCAAGCCTAAAGGACGAAGCTGCGGGAGGTAATCGGCATGAAGAAATGTGTGAAGGATCACGCACTTGACAGTCATGCTCTGCAGTTTCGACGATTAATATAGACATCCTTGGCCATCCCACTTCACCCTCAGACCTTTATCTTCGTTGTGAGCCTATACGAAGGAACTCTTCAGCATGGAGGAAGAAATCTTCGCCTGTGTAAAGACAGAGGGACACGTGTTGAAGTTCAAGAGGGGTACTCTTGTCCCGAATTCATCACCTGCGCAGATCTTCAGACTTAATCCAGGATGGGATTCACATCGTTGAGAAATTTTAGATAGATATATCTACATCAGAAGATAATAACGGGACTAACTGCACTCCTTGGTGCTAACAACCTACACCTTCTCAAAGGTTAGAGATGTATCTGAAGAATCCAGGAGGGACTCATGTCCATATACAGATCTTCACTTGCGTACAGATCTTCAGGTATTCACATTGGTGTGGTTCAGCACAGCCTTGCTAAGGCTATGAAGTTACAAAGTCAACTCTACAAGGACCTGTGTGTTTCAACACAAAGAGGGTATTTTACGACACTTCATTGAGATCGATGAATGCAGTCTACAGGTGGCAGCGCTGAGGAGGTGTGGACTTCAGCTGATCATCGGTATAAAAAGACGACTGCATTATCTTCAGGACTGAAGTAACAGTCACAGCAGCCAGGAAAACAGCCTACCTACATCGGTATTACGCGGCGAAATCTTTCGCGCGTTTACCATTCAACCCTCTATACACGTGGTCACTCGTGTAACTCCGGAAGGCTACGGACAAGACCGAGTGTTGATAACATATCAACGACTGCACAAGATTCTAAAAGGACCTTTTTTCTGCTACACCGGTGACGTCACATCGCGGGGAGCTAAAGGAATCAAAATGCTTCATTTTGATTGGTCCATGAGAGACAACGCCCTGCGCAGAAGTCGGACGTAGTTCACATGTCAGGGAATTGTTTACAAGTGACAACAACCTTTCAACGTGGGAGGAAGGCCTCAATTACAGTCCAGTTAGACGGGAACTACGTGATTCGACTGCCTTCACGGGGTTAAAGACCTTCCCTGGCAGCATTGAAGACGGTTCATCAGGAGAATTGCAGCAACATACGTTTGACGGACTTTTGGTTACGGCAGCCAGTCTACCTTACATAGACTTCACAATGATGGCAGTCACAGAGTCGGACATTGCTTCGCTGCCCTTAAGGACATGGCAAGGGTTTCACGATCGTTGGATCTAGATACAACTCATTGTATCTCAAGCACTACTCTCTCCGTTATTACTCCGAAGTTGGCAGAGCCTACTCATTCCTCAAGTCGGACAGATCCACGAACATGGGCAACAGATGCTCTAAGCATCTCTTGGGAAGGACTAAACGCTTACGCGTTCCCGCCACCAGCTCTAATACCAAAAGTGTTGCAGAAAATCATGCAGACGAGGAACCTGCAACTGATTTTGATCGAGCCTTACTAGCCAGCGAGAATGGGAGAATAGGACTGCCTCAACTGCAACTACCAGAGTGGACGAACTTGCTAGTACATCCACACACAAAGCAAGCACACAGCAACCCACAGGTGTTCCAGCTACACGCGTGGAGCGTATCAAGGCGTGCTTGAATAAGAGAGCATATTCCGCCAGAGCAGCGAAAGCAGTCACGCTAGCTTTACGCAAGTCAACACGCAACTTGTACGACGACAAATGGCGAAGCTTCGAGACCTACGCTTTGAAAACAGGCTTCACAGCCATAAAAGCGACACACCCTCAAGTGGCGGACTATCTTTGTCACCTAAGACAAACGAAGCGGTTGAAAGGGTCAACACTCTCAACATACCTATCGGCATTGAGCTCAGTTATCACTATGAGGATGAGTGTAAAACTGACTAAGGTACCAGAGTGCCTCTTTTAAACTGGAGGACCAACAGCAGAGATTTAAAGCTCCGGCGTGGGACCTCAACATAGTTCTACGGCATCTCACCAGTGACGCTTATGAACCATTAGATAGGACATCTTTTGAGTTCTTGACACAGAAAACTCTATTCCTGATCGCCTTAGCAACAGCAGCAAGGATGTCGGAAATACATGCTCTAGACTTTGAGAGGACACGATTTGATGACAATCGAAACATCGTGCATATGGGACTGAGATGGGACTTTATAGCAAAGAATCAACTGCCAGGTCAACCGGACAGACAATTCCACATCCCAGCACTATCATCAGTACTTGGGCCACAGGATACACAGGACCTATCCTTGTGCCCAGTAAGAGCATTGAAAGTCTACCTACAAAGGTCTAGGACCAGGAGACGAAAATTCAAGCGTCTTTTCATCCCTATATCGGCAGAGACACAGACAGATCTCTCGCTCTACGATATCAATATGGATGAGAACTATCATACTACGGGCCTACAAAGCAGCAGGACTTGATCCTCCAAGAGCCTCCAATCCACATGAAATTAGAGCTCTGGCGTCAACACTCGCTCTACATGCGAATTGCTCTATCACGACGATAATGGAGGGCTGCTTCTGGAAATCGGACATGGTGTTTGCCAACCACTACCTGAGAGACATCACCACCGAGGACGTCTCTGGCATTCACCATTTCGGCCCACTTGTTGTAGCACAACAATTGACAGTTCCACAAAGGCTGAGGCGGAGTCTCGCCCTTTATCACATGACTTGCAAAGCCTACACTCAGGAGAGTTACAGCTTTAGAGTCCATATGCACGCCTAAGACAGACTAAGCATAAGTGATAGACCCAGTACTTGTAAGGGCGTACTTTCATACATAAAAGGGTTGCTTCTCCACTTGATGCTTGCATCAAGAGATGGAGTTGCAAAATCCACATAAAATGTTAACAGAAGCAAGGACCAAAAGTTAACAATTGTGGTCCCCCCATCAGAGAAAGCTGGAAGTAAAGGGTTACAGCAGCAGCAGAGCCTAGCAGTAAATTGAAGTGCTACCAGGAAGTTCCCATAGGGGGGTATGCAAGACGTAAATCACTAATTGGAATCCAGAAGTGGCTTGACCCACCACCAGTTCCGACGGATTCTACAAGCAATAATACATGAGTCAGGATAAGGGAAAATATGTAATTTTCTGAGTAAAATTGATATTTTATACTTATCCTGACTCATGAGGTAAGCCCTCCCAACCTCCCCGCTGAGAGGAAGACAACTCATGGTGAGTAGTGATTTTACGTCTGCTTTATTGAAGGGAGCTTCAAAAAGGAGATACAAGTGTTCCACTAACGTTCGGGAAGGAAAGGAGACAAGCAATAATACATGAGTCAGGATAGGTATAAAATATCAATTTTACTCAGAAAATTACATTTTTGGGTGTTGCATTGCAAATAAAGCTATACTTATACAGTTTTAAAGATCAGGGACCTGATATCCTATAGATGCAAAATTAGAATTCGGAAAGTTTTATCAGCAATATTGCCTGAACAAGCTGGGCAGTACTTTATGTCTTTGTTTCTACATAATTTGTTAATGTCTACTTGCAGTACTGAGACTGAGGCTGATGTATATGTTTTGGGTATCTTTATCTTGACATTTGTCAGCAAATACTACATCCAACAAATACAAAATGTACAGCCTGACAAATGTTTTTTCATCATATTCATCTTGCTTTGTTCTTGACAGGCCAGCACACTGGCTAAACAGGGACTGCATGAGATAGAAGCTGTGACGTCCCATGCTACTGTCATGGGACTTAAACTGCCGGTATGTATATATATGCCACTGTTAAAACAGACCAGTAAGAATTCTAAAATATTGACAAATTGCAAAATTATCCCAAACTGTGCAGTTCATATAGGGGTTCATCTTAACCTACTACTATGGCTAACATTCAGCCCCAGGTGGCCACAATGACAATACAGTTTCCTTATTTGAATTAAACATTTCCCAATTCCACAGACTGTCCAAAACTTTTGTCCAAACATGATCACTTCCAGGCCACCTAGGCCCAGCTGGAATACTGCTGACTGTAAGAATACAAACTAGCAAGTGTGTAGATGCCCCTTATCCTGGCTATGTGTGATTGTAGGTTGTGGTGACGGTGGGCCTGATGTACAACCACCTGCAGTACTCTGGGATCATCTTCCAGGTGTTGAGAGATGTCAAGAGGAAGAGGAAGAGTGCTGCAGAGGTTCTGGCTGCAGGCGGCAGATACGACAAGATGGTAGGAGATGCCTCATGGCAGTTAACTTCAATGTGTATGTTACTTTGTTGGAACAATGGTACTATGGAACAAAATCCCAATTTCAGTAGAGTCAGCATCAACTCTTCAGGTCTTTCACAGATGACTGAAAACACTCTTATTTCCATGGAATACACTACTGCATTGTGGAACAGTCAGAATTCTTTTAGATTTCTGTAAATGTTTTTCCTTTAAAGAATCCATGTGGCGCCTAGCTGGAACTCTGTGCTTTATAAATAGACTATTGTTATCATTGTTATTGTTGTTTTTGTTATTATTATCATTAACATACTGTGAAACGGAACTCAAGACCTTACAACACATACCATGTGTTTTATTTGGGATTACACTTTCTAAGTAAAGTACAGATTCTAGTACTTTTGGGGTTGAGTCCCTACCTAACAACAAAAACCAAATAAATTACTCATAGTAATAGGATAGTATGATCATGTGTATTATCTTGCACAGGTGCTGGAATTATTGACAAATCTGCCATTGTAGCTCTCAGTGTTTTCACTGAGCCCTCAGAGTTACATCCCTTAGTAGTGCCAGAGGTTATCTCCCAATTGACAGACACCCAATTGACAGACACTGAACTAGAAGGTTAATTAGGGTCACACCTACAGGTATAATGGAACAGTCCACTGTCTAGTGAAACAGGTTCGTTACTGAGAAGTTTCATTGTGGGTAAATAGAACTTTGTTGTGATTAAATGATAAATGATTTCTCTTCTCAAAATTGATTTTACTATCAATTACTATCTACTATAAAAACAGGTTTGTCACTGAGAGGTTTGATTGTGTTTATTAATAGAAAAGACCCCTCCCAATAATAGCATATGTGCAACAGAAGTTAACAGAGAAAACGTTTTGCTGGAGAGATATAGATTTGTACATGTTTGAAAACATTCTGATTTGCAGTAAATGAGACACCTGCATTGCCATGTAAGATACGATTAATACCAATCAGTGTTCTAAATTTAACAATACTTTCTAAAGATTGTAACAGTGTATGTCTTTGAGTAGTATACAATGGACATTCAAGGAAATAATGAAAAACATTCTCACATCCATAGCCACAATGACATGATGCATCATTTTTTTAAATATTTATTCTAAATATATCGTAATTAAGTGCACTCGTCATATATCTTAATGTTGTGTGCAAAACATATAACTTCTTTATTCCATATGAATATTATTTAGGTTCACATTTGTCTTTATTTGATTTATATGATACAACAGTGTCGCAATTTCTAATAGCTAAGCTAATGTTTTCAATATGATGATGCCGACTCCCGTAAGACTAGAAGGTTAAACCGAAATGTTTATGAAAATATACTGTTTTTATATTGCAGCAATAAAAATTCAAATTTTCGTCCATCTTTCAAAATAAATAATATAGCTTCAGTTTGTTTACTGTGTTTTTATTTGGACTATTCCATTATAATGTGTAGGTAACAGGTAGTAGATAATCTGTTCACTGAACCATAAATGTTGTTGTGTTAAGGTGTCTGCGAACTGTCTGTCTGCGTAATGGGAGGACACCTTGCCAGAATCTGCTGATAGTTTATTGAATTTCAGATCCTATCTGATTATGTTCCTTTTTTGTCTGCACGACTCCAGTGTTTTTTGGTTTCATCAGTGGTGAACATCTATGGATGTAATTAGGGGAGTTTTTCCCACATTAAACTGACACAACTGAAACACTGTTCAATGCAACTTACTAGATATGAGGAGCAGTGGTGTAGCCTTGTGGTTAAAGCATTTGCTCATCATGCAAAAGGCCTGGGTTTCAATTCCCTGCATCGGTACAACATGTGAAGCCCATTTCTCATGTCCCCTGTCGTTGATATTGCTGGAATAGTGCTAAAAGCGGCATAAAATCCAGCTCACTCACTCACTACTAAATATGGTTATTATGCATGATGGATCATTGGAAACAAATGGATGTAGGAGCGTAATCAGTGTTCCTAATGTTCAGTATCAAAATGTGTATTTTCCTGCAGATTCAGCAGTTTGCTTCCCCACTGCACCCAACATCCCACATCCCATCTGGAGTTGGAGTCAGCATTGCCTTTGAAAAAATTGTAGCTGCTGTTACCGAGGATCTGGAGGTGAGTGAGCATTCTTGGTAGCCATGGCAACAAACTCTTGAATTGCTAAGTGGCAGACAGCATGCAGAATAACCAACATAGATAATAAACATTGTACTAGAGACAGTTTAGCAAGGGTCTTTCACGGTCTATTTTGATAATGCATTCATTGTGAGATGCAGATAATCCGATAAGAAAACTGTAACATTGGTCCATGTATTCACAGCCACCAAGCCCATATGACGTCCTGGTGTGTACTATCGGCTGTAAGCCCATGCTGAGAGAGACTTGGTGTAGCGAAGGAGTTATGGCTAGGAAGACTCAAAACACAAGTCCTCTTTGATACCATGCAGGTAAAACCCATGCTTTCATGTTTACATAGCAGTATTTCATGTTTTCTTAGCTAATCCGATTTTCATTTTTTACTATCCTAACGTTCATAAAAGTGGAACAAAACAAATCCATGATTGATAATATATGCATTGGGTAATAATTTTCTGAAACATTATACATAGATTGAATTAAATGCATATTAACCTTGATACTATCTTAATATTTTGCCCCCTATAAGGTAAGAGGAAAAAATAAAATGGTCATTCTTTATGTTGTATTGTTGATAACTGGATTGTCTGGTGCAGACCGCCACCATATAGCTGGAATATTGCTGAGTGCGGCGTTAAACAACAAACAAACAAAACCTACATAAATCCAAATCTGTTTCTTTTGTTATCTAAAAATATATTTATAGAAACAATATTCGTGAGAACATTACTGTTTTGAGTGACTACTATTTCCATTACTGTTTTCTGTTGTATCTACAGAGCCTGGAGGAGATCAGCGACTACTGTCGGGAACTCGGTGTCTCCCACCTGGTCATGCTGAAGGACTCCGACACTGGATCGGTCAAGGTAACACCTGCACACTCATCTCAACCCATGCAGCCTTCAGCTAAATAGAGCAGAACATTGATGGAAATTATTGTGAATTTGAAGATCAAGTTATTGGTTAAAACTGAAATGTCTATACATATCTGGTACAGGAGGATGGTGTAGTGTCCCTGAAATTATTTATGACATTTTAGATCCTGACAAGAAGGCATTTATGTAAATGTTTATGTTAACAGAATTATTTTTACTGTATTTGGGGTATTAAGTGTGCGGCTTCAAAAACATCACCTGACCCATTTCTAGAACGTTTGTACAGAACTTTATCCCCACAAAGGCCGAGAATACAAATGACAGTCAATATCATCTTATGTGTATGACAGAATACAGTTGCAAGGAAAGGGAATATAATTGCTTTCCAAATGTTGCCAAAAACATTAAAATTTAATAGATATTCAAACCATGTTTGTTCATCACCAGTATATATTGTACTTGTGTATGTTTTATAAAAGTGACTCTTTTGTGAAATATCTGAGTGCCTGGGTGTTTATTACAGGAAATATCTTAGGTACTTAGTGTCTGGCTCAGAACTGATAAAAAACCAAAAGATACAATCATAGCCATAAAATGGTGAGCAACCATTTACCGGAGGGTTGTAATGCTGTGTTTTCTTGTCAAGGTACGTAGTATCGAGAAGGATCGAGTGACAGAGAGGAAGGTGCCCATGTCTGAGGTTGTGGACTTCCTGCAACAGAAGCAACAGTCTGCAAAACAGTGAGTCAACTTGTATGATGTCAATTTGATCCACATGTATTTCTGCCTCAAAGTTGCTTGTTTCTCCACATTATAGTAGGATAATAATCCTGAAAAATGAAACTTTTGGACTTGATTTTCCTGAAACATGCAGTAATTACCATGATTTTTGTCCTGCCTCAATCTTTACTGATTATTACTATCAGTAAGTTTGCATGAAATGTGTTGGATTATTCTAATTAAAGGGGAGGTGGGATAGTCTAGTGGTTAAAGCGTTCGCTCGTCACGCCAAAGACCGGAGTTCGATTCCCAACAAGGGCACAATGTGTGAAGCTCATATCTGGGGTCCCCTGCCATGATATTGCTGGAATATAGCTAAAAGTGGGGTAAAGCTAAACTCACTCACTCACTATTCTATCTAAAGTTTGCAGTGATATAACTGGACGACTATACAAAGTAACATTAAGACCCTTCTCAAACACTATGTTGCATATAGGGCAGCTCAGTCGTCATAATTTCCTGTGTCTATGATCATGCATGTTAGACCCAGATTTGGACTTGCTCAACTATTCACAAAAGGGATTAATATTCATGACCTGCATACACTTCAAGCGTCATATACTGTGACGCTCCTGAAATACCCTTCAGTATGATAAACCAAACTGACTGGCCCATTATGCTGCTTGTTCCAGAGAGTCGATGGATATGGTCCCAAACAGTGAAAAGAAGAGCAACACTGGCCAGTCCAGCAACTACTCCGAGATCAATCAGCCCAGCACCTACAGCAGCAGCAACACCATCACCTTCAACTTCCTCTTTGTCATGCAGGAGGGACGCCTCACCTCAAACGTCAAGAGGAAGTATGAATCCCAGGTGTGTGATTAGTGTTATAATGCAGAGTAGGTCTGAATAGAAGAAGAATGTTTATGAATGAATAGCGCTTCATCATTGTCATGACAAATGACAAATGTGGCTATTTAGGGACTGTTCATAATTGGTGCGTGCACGTGTGTGAGATGATTTTGAGGGGGGGCATTTTCTTTAGGAATGGGTCATCAATTTTGTACACATGTACTGGGGGGGTGTCATCAATTTTGTACATAGTAATATTTAAAAATTATGCTTAAAAGTATGGGGGGGTAATTGATTTTTTACATGACATGCAGGGGGAGGGGCACTTACTTTGTACATAAATTTTAGGGGGGATCAGTCACTTTGTACATGCTTCTCCATAAAAACCATCAAGGGTCCCAACTGTTGATGAAGTGAGGTTACTTGACTTGAGCGTAGCTAGTGCTTCATTACTGCCCCACACTGAAGATTTAGTTGTTATTAGCTATTATTTTGTCAGCTGTGGATACATTGTGGGCTAAGGTGTATGGGTTTGTTTTGTTTTTCAGATGTTTAACAAACTGTCTTCAGCTTTGAACTGGCTACCAGGCAAATCCCACGATGTGATCGTTGTTGAACTGAACAAGTCAGTGTTGAACATCATAGCAGCTTACCTTGAGGTAGGAAGCATTCAACATACAGTAGAGTGGGAACACTCTTTATCCTTTCTCTATATTGCCTTACATGGAATTATGTCAGTGACATTTTGATAACGGCAGTCTACAACTAGGAAATATATACCCTTGACAACAGATATTTTACCAATCTCAATGATCTGTGATACTTCAATCATTTTCTGGAACTCTTCTCGCGATATGGTAACAGAAAAACAACATCTCTTTGTAATGCAAAGCACTGCGTGCTCTGGGTACTTCAAGGTATCATCAGTTATGAATACCACTTTAGTTTAGTGAAGCATCACAGCGTTAAACATGTCGAACATCTTCAGTATTTGATCACTACATTCCTCCTTCACCTCTGACTTGTTTTAAAGAAAGCTAGTAGACACCAAATAAGTTGTACTCCATGGCGTGAACATTGCACAACCCTGCCATGGCGAAGATGTGCTGCACATATGAGTTTGTGTCATGTAATCTGTGAGGTCAGAACACTCGCTGACGTTCTTTTCACTGGAACAAGGCCTGTGCCTGATTGGTTGGTCAAAATGTCACATGATGACCCGATGTTTTCATCTTAATCATTTGATTGTTATATTCACATCCTGTCATCAAAAAGTGGCATCCACTGAAAAAAGCGATCTTTCCTAGGATGTGTCACTGAAGTGTAATTGCATTACCATCAGATACCATGATGTCTCGATCAAAAGACATGAGTACTATGCTTGCTATACTGTTATGTTTGCTATACTGCTTTGCTTGATATACCGCTATGCTGGATGCAGCATGAATTAACCCATGGCTCCCGAAATTTCATCAAGAATTTTCTAAGCATAACACAAATTCATACCCTCTTGTTTGATAATATAAAATTCGTCACGCCGAAGACCCGGGTTCGAATCCCCACATGGGTACAATGTGTGAAGCCCATTTCTGGTGTCCCCCGCCGTGATGTTGCTGGAATATTGCTAAAAGCAGCGCGCAAAAACCAAACTCAGTCAGTGATAATATAAAATAGATCAATACTGTTATCTTCACGTTACAGATATGTTTGATATCAAAATACACGAAGATGATTCTCTATGTATTATGACAATGTTTTCATGGAACTGTTCACAGCTGAATGGCAGTGAAGCTGACTTTGATGCAAGCATCAGCTCTATAATAGAAAAGTAAGTAAAACAAACTCCCTCAAGGTAGACCAGATGTGTTTGGTACTTGCTTCAAACTGGCACTACCTGATATTTGGAAATATAGCTTTCATGCCTGTTCAGATTGTTTAGAATAGATTGTGATGTGATAACAGTGTTTAAGTCATTTATGATGAAGTTATGCCTGAGGGTCAAAATCACCGATTTCCTCAAATTGTGAATCTTGTACGTATTTGTGAGGGTTTTTTTGGTTTTATTTGTTGTTTTCGTTTATTTGTTGGTTTTTATTGTCGTTTGTTTTGTTTATATTGGGGTTTTTTTTGTCGATGTTTTTGTTTGTTTGTTTTTTGGGGGGTCTTTTGTTTTTTTATATCAGTGAATTTCATAAAAATAATAAGTACCCATGAAATAACGTCTCTTTTTTTTTGTCACATTCAAGACAGACCTGGGTGATGTCAGACAAACTGTGAACATGGTGTTTAATCTCCCATGCTCACTCATGCTTGGTTACCAAGAAGGAAAATCCTATAGTGGTTGTTATCAGAAGTAGAGCACGTACACATGTTCTGAACATGCATTTCAACATGGGCAACAGTGAGGTTCGTCTTGCTCCAATCATTGTTAACCAAGCATGGTGGGTTTAGTTCAGCTTCTTCTGTTTAGTGGATGCATTAAGAGAGAGAGAGAGCGATTTATTTGCATATGAGGCCATACGACCTACAGTACAAAATAGTACATAATATAGTTATTGAGTTACCAAATGTGTACATAGTATGGATCGAAGAAACGAGTTTGCTAACAATGTTCTGCAAAATAAACGTATTTCAAATATTTGGAGATGCATTAAGTAAGGACAGTGACATAGCATTTCCATTGTTTCAGACAACCCCGTCACAGGAAATACTTGACAAACATCATTGATGAAATTCATACATTGAAATTTGAGAAAAAGTAAGTATATATAAGTATATATGTCAGTTTAAAGTAAAATAAGACATTTGCAAATACAACCATTCTGAGAACATTAACATGTTCAAAATGCAAACCTTATTAAATCAAAACAATTGTAATGTTATTGACCCGTGAAGATACGGGGTAGAATTGGTCTTCAGCTTGTCACAAGAGGCAACAAACGGGATCAGCTGGTCATGCTTGTTGACACATCATTATATCCCAATTGCATAGATCGATACTCATGCTATTGATCACTGAATTGTCTGGTCTAGTTTATATACAGACCTCAGTTATATAGCCATAATATTGCTGAATGAATGTTATTGTCCTGTTGTTTATTTTTCAGATACCAGTTCATTATACTGTATGGGCTGAAGGACGACACGGTCAAACTTGTTTCTTGACACAAACATTCAGAGAACAAGTGATTCTATGTGCAATTATTCTTCTAACCAAAGTTAAGGAAATGAAATCCTGTAATTTCATAGGGAACAACCTGTCAACATATTTCTCATCAACATCATGACCTTCTTTGTATTTTACCTGTCAAAATCAAGAGATAGATCAAATGTGGTCCCCATTACTTTCAACTGACTGATTTATATCAAAACTGTTTTGTTTTCTTGATTTTTATATATGTTGAGCAGCCCCCCAAAAATCTGTATGGTTTTGTTTGAATTTTTCTACGAGGTGTAGAGACAGAGGGAAACATGTTGGTCTTCTTTATACAAGGCAATAGTCCGAGGAAATTCTACGACTCATAAGAATATTTCGAGCATCCAGTTTTGGCCCATGTGACTCATTCCATGGAACTGTTGTCATACAAGTAGTACCAGTATTTAATATTGCCCCTAAACTAACATTTTCCGTAAGAGTAAACACAGACATGGTTGGATAAGGACCCTTATTCACCCAGTGAACATGTTTAAGGTAACATTGAAGACTGGTGTGGAATTTTCAGATGTGTTCAAATGGCCAACACCTTATCATTTTTTGCTCACCGTAGATGTGTTACAGGGGGATCAGGATTTCGTTAGGCTCTAATGTACTAAAAATAATTACCTTCCCTAATGCTTGTTATATTGGACAAAAATAGCTAGGGATATATGTAAATTTTGAAATTATGAATAATGATCTATTTATTCATTTACATACTGATAAAATATCAATCATAAAGATACCAATATCCCTAACATATTTTGTCCAGTATGTTTTGGGTTGACTCGCCCCATGCCCATTCTTAACCTCCCCTGTGAAGACAAAATTCTAAAGAACTGTGTATTTTGTTTTGTGATCCCTCTGCCCCAATTTGAAAACCCTTGTTAAATGGAATCATAGCATGAGGTGTTTGTGAGACTTCACCTGAATAGAGATTACAATGGAAGATTACTGGCTTTGTGTTTTACAATATCAGTAAATGTTAGTTTTTTTCAGATGCTTTGGCTTCTGATCAGGTAATCAGGGTGGTTTCCAAACAAAATTTTAAAATATTCAGCAACACCCTCAGCTCTTAATTCTTACACTGTTCATCTCCAAAATGTTGAATATTTCAATAAAATATTCACTGTTTAGTATGACTGGGATAGGCTTGATGAATTTATGGACATGTGGTGGGTGAAGAAAACAGTGCATCATGGAGCTGTGTTGAAATATGAACACTTCTCTTTTTAAGCCGTGTTAAGTCATTTGTTATTCGTTACCTATACATAATATATTTGTTCCCAGAAATATAATTGAATGTTTCTGTTGCTCAGTTCATTGTTGTACATGTTGTACAGGACCAAATGTAGTTGCCAGTTGAGAATTTATCATTATTTTATCATTTACAGATTGGGGTGTAAAATAACAATTATGACATACATTTGGAGATACATGTATACTGTGTTATATTATATTTGCTTCAATCCATCGTGTGAAACTGCTCTGAAACAAGCATTTAATTTTGGGTGCCATGCATCCTGACAAGAGTAGCAAGTTGTTTTGCATGAAATTTGTAAGATTGTAAAGATATCCTGTTGGTAGGTATAGTCTAGCAGAAAACTTTTTGTGACAGTGTTTGGTCACTTTACTCAAAAACTAAAAAGTACAATCATTTTCTAATTTGGCATGATGCATTATAATTCTTCTACCATTGTGAACTTTTAATTTCATGAATTATAATTTAATAATATTAAAGTTGTTGAACAAACTATCATTATAATTCGACTCAGTTCACTATTCATTATGAGGGAGGAGTGCAGAGAGAGGAACAGCCAGGTGTGCAATTGATTCATTTACCTGTGCTGAGCCTTTCTCTAACACCTGGCTGTTCCTCTCTCTGTACTCCTCCCTCGTAACAAATAGTGAACTGTTTGCACTTGTAGTTTTTGAGTAAAGTGACCAAACACTGTCACGAAAACTTTTGCTGCCAGACTATAGGTTAATTTGTTAAATGGTGCAAAAGCAATCTTTGTAACAGAATACTCAGGGACAGATCCAGAGGGGGGTGCAGGGGTCACACCCCTCCTTTCCCCAAAAAAAAATTTCCTGAGGAGCATTTCCCCCTAATCTTTGGACTTCATGATTTGTGTGCATCCCCCTTCTCCAAAATCCTGGACTCGCCCCTGATACTGTAACACAGTCTGTATAATTGATCTGTCAGTGTAATTTAAATCAGATCGTTCATCAAAAATGATACCTCTCTGCACTAAGATCTGAGAACAACTCATAATAGAGTCGGATACATTTTCTAATTGGTGAAAGGGCATTTGAGTCCAACTACATTCTAAAGCGTGTCTTATTGACATCTGCATTCCGTGTCAGTTTTCTTTCCCTCAGATCAAAATTTTCAAAGCATGGTTGTAAAGATACAAAGCCAAATCCTTTCAGAAAGTGGACATATAATTGCTCTAAGACTGACTTCAATATTATTGGGTGGAAGTTTGACAAAGTTCACCTGACACAACCACCAGTGGAAGTGTCTTCAGATCTTCATGCAGACATATCATAATGGTGTAAAATATCTGATTTTCATGACATTGTATAATTGGTGGTGCTAATACTGAAGAAAAGAGGCATATTTTTTTTCAATAGCTTGGACCATGACCAAAGCTAACATTAATGAAATGTTACATCTATAGTATTTCAAACAGATTTTCAGTAGACTAGTGACGTAGATGATTGTTTTAGTATTGAATATGGTAAAGAGTAAAGTTGAGAATGTTTGTCATTGTGGTTACTGAGTCCATATCAATACATACATCTGATTGAGGAAGTAAACACCCAACACTTCAGGCATATTAGTGGCCCATTATTCACCATAACACAGCTGATAACCGTCTTTATTTGGTTTGCTGGTGTTAAAATTAGTAATTAAGTTTCAAGTTTATTTTGAGACTCTAAGGCTGTACATTATTTCTGTGTACACCAGTGATTTGATCTTAAATTGAGTACGAAACAAGATCAGACATTTATCAGGACATGTTCAAGTTTCAATAAAGTAAATCTTACATAGCAAGTATGCATTTAAAATGTTGGTATTTACAAGTCTGGCACAATATCAAATATAGAATATCAAAATGTGAATATTAAACTGTTTAGCAGCATCAAGGAAGTGTTAAGATGTGTTGAATACTTAAATATGTTCACCAGGAGATAACGATACTCATTGACTCTCATCATGTTGAACAATACACGAAGAATCATATCATGCCAAATGACAATAAATGTATGAAACTGAACACCATTTATGTTGCAACAATCAAATGGTATTCCTTTCTTCAAATGACCTGATACACCAAGATTACTTGCAGTTATTATCTGGAAGACCCAAGGTGCAATGCCAACATGCAGGCATTGAAGGATATCGACCTCATACGTTCATGGTCCAGTGTATGTTCAGTTTACCACTGCACTCAGCAATATTGCAGCAGTATGAGAGAGGATTGTAAATACGGACAAACCTAGTGGTTTATATTATGAATATTGGTCCATGCCTTAAGGTGAAGTGAAATTGGGTGTAGTGTCGTGCTTGTGAATATTTCGCTCATATGACGACGTGCATATGTGTGTATGTACGTCCGGCTGCTTGTACTAGCCCAGACTGAAGCTGGTTTTATAGTGCTAGCCCACTGAGATACCATGCCGCAGTGAAGAATGAATACCCCACTCAGACACATACTGACTCCGAGCCGACCAGTCCTTGTTGTACCCATTAATGCCGAGCGCCAGGCAGAGACCAACAAGTACCATATTTTAACGTCTTTTGGTATGACACGGTCGGGGATCGAACCCGCGACCTTCCGCTCTCCGGGCGGACGCTTTAACCATTACACCACGGAGGCGGTATCCATGCCTTAAGGGGATTGTTAATACATCAATCAATTCCCTGATAAAGGGATGTAAATGTAAACAAGAACCCATCAGGTTTCTAATTAAGTCACGTTACAATTAGAAATTGGGTGCACAAGAAGAGCCATGGCCTTTGAGTGATGTTAAATGCTTCAGTTAGCATATTCTAGCTCAATCATGACACCTAGGAAATAACCCAAGCTCCTGAGCAGGCTAACCAGTGGTTACCATTGAGGATTTATGGTCACACACTGGAAACACTGATCCACATCTTATGCAACAACCATGATACAGTGTCTACTGTCACTGTCAGATCGCTGAAATGTCATAAATTCTTTTACCATATTATTATACTCTTAACCAACTACTTGAAAAAAATATCTGTGTCTATTATTGCTTTTAAGCTAGTTGGTTTATTGCTGCTTTGAGCCGTAGTCCAGTAATACATGCACACCTGTGGCACACTACCCTGAATATCACCATCACAACCCTGATAAGTGAATATCACCATCTTCCTCCACTTGGGGGGTTGGGTGGGGTAACCAAGCGGTTAAAGTGTTCGCTTGTCATGCCAAAGGCCCGGGTTCGATTCCCAACATGGGTACAATGGGTGAAGGCCATTTCTGGTGTCCTGTGCCGTGATATTGCTAAAAGCGGCACAAAACCCAACTCACTCCTCCATTTGGTCACCTGTAATGTTCAGATGACAAATGAGAGTACCTATTGTTTCACAACACTTCACAATATCAAGCCAAGGGTACACTGGAAATGGGCTTTACACATAAAACACATGATGTTGGGCATGAAAACCCTGGCCTTCAGTATGACCTAGGAACACTTAAACAAATAGGCTACCCACATAATGAAAACATAACTGAAGGGGCCATCCACACCTTTAACATGGTTAATGCCACAATCTTCAAAAACAAAAAAAGGACAAATTACAGACATAATTATTTATTTCAGTATAATTCACATTCAAAATGAAGAAGCAGGTCCCAACAGTCAAAATGAGATTTTTTTTGTGGACAGCAAGAATTTATTCTTAATGAAAACAACAACTTTACTCCATCATCACTTCTGTGAAGACAGTCTTCATTATCCTGGGTGTAAAACAGTATGAACTGGATTAGCTTCACCAGAAAACAATATGAACAGATTCCAGGCTCCAATATTCAAAATTGAAAGCCCTGTTCTTTCAGCATGTGTACGTGGATGATTCATGTTGACTGATTGTGAAATAAGTTACTCCTAGGTCGGACTAGTCCTTCTCTGCAATGGCTGTTAGATGGGCATCAATCTGCTGCTCTGTAAGTACACTGCAACACAATACAACACAACCATACATATGACAGCCACATCTTGACACCACTTCAACAGTGCTCAACACACATCTTACAGCCTCTCACAAAGATAATTAATGCCAAAACATCTCAAACCCCTCAGCAGGTCTACATACTTGGAAAAGTCTAGATTTCTTAAGTATCAAGGTTAAATAAGGAGATTCTCTGGGAGAATTCCTCTCTAGAAGAAATCTTTTCTTATTGTTATGCCTTTTTCAAAACAGTTTACACAACGTGCGACACTACTGTTGCTCACCTGTAGTCAACAGCAAAAAATGTCATCACAAACAGGCCTTTTATCAACATGGCCTTTATATGCTGCCACTGTACAGATTAGTACCAGTTTAAGCTCTGTTGGTGTACTGATACCGTGAGGTGAGGTGAAATTGGGTTTAACGTCGCTCTCGAGAATATTTCGCTCATATGACGACATGCATGCGTGTGTATGTGCGGCTGCTTGTACTAGCCCAGACTTAAGCTGGTTTTATAGTGCTAGCCCACTGAGATACCATGCCGCAGTGAAGCATGAATACCCTACTCAGACACATTATACTGACTCCGAGCAGACCAGTCCTTGTTGTACCCATTAATGCCGAGCCCCAATCAGGGACCAACAAGTACCATATTTTAACGTCTTTTGGTATGACGCGGCCGGGGAACGAACCCGCGACCTTCCGCACTCCGGGTGGACGCTCTAACCACTACACCACGGAGGCGGTCACATTTGATACCGTGAGCATGATAGCACAGGTAACAGTACAAACAGACTGTAAAGTGTTTTTTCCCAAGACAGAATACTTGATTATGCAGAGTATCAAAACTCATCAAAACAACATATTATTCACCATTGAAGAAGACAAAGATAAATTACCACAGTAATATGAAAAAAATGAAAGGTTATTAATTCTTTCTTTGTAGTACATATTCTGGATCAAATTACCATAAGATACAATACTTAAGGATGGTGTACACAGACATATTCTTTGAGAACAGATAATGGAGTGTGACTGTGAGGATTCATATTTTCTACCAATCTTATTTACCGGAAATGAGGATTATCCTTTGTGACAATTCCAACTTCAACTTCAGAGGCCTTGAAATCTGCAGATAACACTGTTGATAAGCATGTGATTGCAATCTGAAAATAAACAAGAATTTGTTATCAAAAACCAGTACCAGGAAATCCACATTTCCAACAAACAAAACTCAACAGAGATTAGCATGACTGAATGAAGAAGATGAGCTTCCAAAGCAGCCAATCCCCAGCTAAAGGGATCAACACCATGAAAATGTTTCAGTTATAGCCAACATGTCCACTCGATGTGGGAGGAAAGCCTGGTGTGGCATTTACCACTTTAAAGCATGGCACTGAAGTGGCAAAAAAGATAAATAAAAACAGAAAACCAACAATTAATTTCTGGCACATCTCAGGGATAAAACCATTGCAGTGCCTTAGGGATAACAGCCAATTGCCTGCATGCACTTTTCTATTAATATAAGGATACATCAACTTCCAAATCCCTGTCGCTTTACCTCAGCTGCCTCATTGTAGGAGAAATCCTGTTTCTTCTTGATCTTCTTTTCCAAGAAACTGTTTGCTTCCAGCTGCTTGACCCCTGCTGAGGTAGCCTTGAACCCACTGTAGTAACCAGCTGGGTCTGTCTTCAACACTATAGGGCCCTTCTCATCATCATAGCCGATCATTATCATGCCTGCAGTATATCAAGATGAAACATACTATATGGAACAAACCATCCACCATATCATGGGAAAGGTAGTATCACCCTTCAAACCAAAAGATTATTTCTACTTTTAAAGCTATAAAGCATGTAAAGAATATAATGGCTTCTAATCGAAGAATTAGGAGATAACCATTATGAACTGTGCCATGTTTTTCAAACACGAATGTGATCATCACGATACTTACAAAGGAAAGTATTCATATGCAGTGTCAGTTCAATTAAATTCCCAGACTCGGAATCCAGAATAACATTACAAACATAACTCCCATGTTTGATGAAGGCACATCTTTACAATTAAATACTACATGTGGAATGTGTGACTTACAGCAGCCAAGAGGCCTCATCTCTGCACTCTGTGTGTACACCTGGTTGATGTCAGCAATGCGTTTACACAGCATGTCAATGGGGATCTCATAGCCATATGTATACTTCCACTTAGCTGCTTCATACCGGGCTCTCTGCACCTGTGAGCGACTGTCGGCTTAAAACATGAAGTGGACACTTAGAAAAACTCACACTCACATACTGTAATACTCAATGTTTGCTAAGGATCAAACTTGACTATCAAAATATCATCCAACAAAAAAGATTACAATATCCCTGCACACAATCGACTGCAAAATCCCTATATCTAAATATTATGATAAACAGACTTAGGCTAGCTGATGTCGGCTTTGAAGTTGATGTAATGTAATTCTCAAGTTCAACCAAAGAAAAGAATTCATTCCAACGTCCATACCTTTGAGTCGTTCCTGAATATTTTAGATAGATCACAAATTTGAGAGTCAACAGGATATAATTCAATGTGTCTAGTCAGTTATATCCAGCTGCAACATATCATTACCTATCATCCCTGTCATGACACAGCCAATGTTCTCTGTGAGTTGGAAGAGGTGTGTGACTGCACTTGCATCCAGCAACTTGTCCTTTGGAACAAATACATACATATCAACAACTGTCTGAATGGTCATCATGTTAATAGTATCAATGATATCAAAATTAAGTTTTAGTCTGGACATCACTGGTATCAGGTACAGTAAATGTAGTACTGCCCATGTAAAGAAACCAGTGAAGTAGGTTTGAGGGAAATATAGTAAAAATCATGATAATCAGTAAAAACAGCAAAATGCGATAACATGATCGACTATGTTGATAGTACTTTAGCACAAGTAATTACAATTTTCATAAGAGTAAGTCTCAGCTGGAGGCATTGTTCAAATTTGATGAATGGTGTGCATGATAAAAGGTTACAAATATGATTAACTCACAGGGACTTTCTTCTGTGTTACAATGACTGCTGAATCTTTCCCTCGCACTGCCACAGATGTCAAACCACCCTGGTTAATAGCCTTGAAAGCATATTCTGTGAAGAAAGTTGTATACATTAGATCTGCACCAATACCATGGTCTCATTAAAAGACAAACAGCACATTGTAAGACTCTTTCATTGTCTGTTTTCTGTATCCAAGTATCCTGAACGGAAAGACTTCCGCCTGTATCCCCCTTGATATTTCATTCTAATCAAATCATATGACCTGAATATAAATTCCTCATCTGATAAGGATGAGTTTTAACAAGTTTCTTTAATTGTATCTGAACATACTGAAAGACATATCCAACTTCTAAAAGTGCCACTCAAAGAAGTTTTTCCTCATCGTTAAAATTTAGGGGGAATACGGGCGGAAGTCTTACTGTCTCAGATTCTGAGAATAAACCATGACCTGGGCATTTAAAACTGTTCAGACTCAAACCAAACATACATCGATGGGATAGAGTTTGAGGTAACATACCCTAAGGACCAATGAGGCACATATGATCTGTGTAGCAAACGCATACATAACCCGGTAAACTGCATCTGTCATGAATTTAGCAGCATAAATATGGCTATCAAAAATTTTACAAAAGTGATTTCATTTGCCCATTTCAAAGACAATTGCCTAGAAAGTCAACTTCACCTAATGGCAATTATTATTATTGGCAATTATGTGTAATGAACATGGGGCATTTCTTGGGAATGCAATTTATGTAAGCTTGAAGTTTACACGCTGCAACAGACATTTCCGACTTGCTTACATAGCTCTTATAAGGGCGGTATAGTCTCCAGATACAAGCTATGACTGGAAGTTTCCAAAACGAAATATCACAGGCTACATGATGCTTGTCAATGTGTTCAATGTATTCTTTATACATGTTTACTAACATTTGACTGTGTATTACAATAGCAAGGGCCAATGAATAGAGTATTTGAAACCGCATCATGAGAGATGAACACAAACATCAATTCATGTCGTCTTTACTTTGTGTATCTTACCAACTTGATACAGACGTCCTTCTGGTGAAAAGATAGTGATGTACCGATCAAACCCAGCGCTGCTTCCTCGGGCCATGACAAAAAACAGTAATATATCAACAAACACCAACACAACAAACGCAAAGTTTTCAAGAAATCATACGATGTACTTATGACTATGCAGAAACTGCTTCTATCATGGCAGCATGTAAGGGTACTGCAAAAAGTAGGATGTGGTATATGCTAAAAGACGAAATATATAATACGGAATATGATTGCAGGTTGTCGAAATCGGCGCCTAGAAAATATCTGGCACGTTTACATTACACATTCATGATTACAGCTAAAACTGTGATTGAATTAAATAGTAATCCTCTAAACTCGGGTTTCTGGCGGTGACTCTTCTACTCATATACAAAGCTTTTTATGTGAAGCTATAATTTGTTGATCACTAAACTTGTATGGATTTAAACAATTATTTACAGGTTATATATATAGCCTCCTTCCGATTAATCACAACGGAAGTATTATTCTTAATACGCAAACAACTCAAAGGTTCTAACTGCAGCAATATATCAAAGAAAACAAAGATGTGAGCCAACGATTAGTGGTTTCTGTCGTGCCCAAGGGAAGCAACTCTGCCCACAAAGTGAGTCGCCCCAGACGACTGGGCCACCCGAGCAATGGAGTGAGATGTATTAACATTATATTATTCAAACGATCTACAACATGACCATTCAATACATTGGGCATTTAAGAGAGTTCACTCAGAAAGGTTCGCTCCTAAAAGTTTACACACGGTCTAGCATTTCACCATCAAATGTCAACAATGCCATCTACAGGACAGACTAACTTTCTTTGGAAATTTCGGATATTTTATTGATCTCTGTGAAAGATAAGATGCACTACATTAAGATATGATATGGGGTTGTCCTTTAAATCTTATACCATTCTACAAATGATGTTAGTCGTATTCTGATCAAAATGATGACATAATAAATTAACATATATAATGTATTGACTGAGATGATTGCTGACTTGACATCAGTACGCTCTGTGCGATGTAACTTTACATACAAGATATCATCGCCTACCAGATGGTTGATTCCACGACACTTAAGATGCCTATTGTATATGAAACTGACGTGATGTGTGTAAATCCTGTGATCGAGCTACAAGATGACAGATCGAGTGAAAAAGTCTGAGTGTGAATTCAACTTCTCATTCTTTCATATTGGTACCTTCCCCTTTATCACTAACAGAGATTCTGAAGCAAAGTATGGACATGAAATTAGATTTGTTAAAACTTACCTGCATCGCCCTGTTGTTGACTGACTGAGTTTGGTTTTACGCCGCTTTTAGCAATATTCCAGCAACATCACGGCGGGGGACACCAGAAATGGGCTTCACACATTGTACCCATGTGGGGATTCGAACCCGGGTCTTCGGCATGACGAGCCAACGCTTTAACCATTAGGCTACCCCACCGCCCCCCGTGATGTTGAAACAATTAATAATTATTTACATTGTCATATTAAAAAGGCCCCCACCTGTATAAGGGACCGTTCATAATTTATAGGGAGTTGCTCTAACCACAGATTTGTGGACAAGTTGCGCAACACATAACTGTTACAGGTCACTATCTGACAAGTCATTGGCAGCTGAAATCTTGTGTTATCGCCACAAGGCGTGTAGAAGAGCGTCACAGTGGGGAAAACAGCGGGAATCCTGAAACCAATACAGTCAGAATTCAAAATCCAAACGGTTTCGGGTTTGACAACACCAGCAACATGACAGTTGCAGCTAGAATGGCTGAATATTTCCACGTGCGGTGTTTCGCTCATACACTGCAACTTGCAGTCGGAGATGCACTCAAACTAGATGCTGTTGACAATGCCATCATTCATTCAAGAAAACGTGTCTCCTTCTCCAAATCACCTGTGGCCACTCATCACCGAAGGAGGTGCAGAAAAAAAGAAACCCATCAAACACGTCATTAGTGACGTCTGCACCAGATGGAACTCCATCTAGTTCATGTTTGAGCGGTTGGCTGAAGTACACCCTGATGTTACAGTGCTTCATGATGACAAGAAACATAACTCCCTGATCCTTAAAGATGCTCAATGGGCCCTGGTGGAGCACCTTGTTTATTGTCTGAAAACCCTGGTATCAGCAACTGAAGTTATCTGTAGCGAGCCACTTCCTACAGGTGCAGGCGTGTATTGTCTTCTCTCTGATGAAGAAACACCTGGTGACGTCTGATCTCGACGTGGGTGTCATCACACAGGTCCAAAAGAAAATATAAGGTAATCTTCAGTTAAGATTGCTCAAAGACAACTTCTTTTGTCTCCATCAATGATTGCTACAGCCCTCGGCCCCAGCTTTGAGAACTTTCGCTTCTTGGAGGACAACCAGCGGGAACGACCTCATCAATGGCGATGCTCAAGCTGAAGGTGGAGGACACCGATGATGATGACAGTGTTCACGGAGTGAGTGAAGTACAGGTCAAACAGGAGGAGATCTTGACGTCACCCAAGAAGAAGCGATATAATAGAAATCTCTGGTGATGTTTCAGACAAGACCTCCAAGCAGGAATATAGCGACTTTCAAGCGTCCTCCAACAAGTTGTCAGCCTCTGCAGAGGCAGTTCATTCTCCTTGAACTGATGGCGGGAAAATACAGTCGTCTTCCTGAATAAGAATAAGCCTAAATCATCTGCCACTGTCCCCGGCTCTGCTGCTGTAGCATCCACGACACAGTCGACGTCTTCTGCCCTGGCTCTAGTCGTTAAAGCGAGCCAAATTATGACCCACCAATAACCCTCCCACCCTCACCAACTTCCAGTCTGCTGAAGATTCGGATTGAATCAGTGAGATAGGATCCACTCTCGAGTTCATCTCTAGTGAGATAAACGTGTTCATTACATTGTGTAACTGTGTTTATTGCTTATTACTTTAGTTCATTTAAAGCTGACATTGAATTTAGTCTTTAGTTCTTATTTTATTTCAATTTCATGAGACACAGCTTTTACTTTAGCGTCAAAGCTGAATACATTCACTATTAAAGACAGTGTAATTATATGATTTTATGTTTTGGGAATGGGAATACCAATAAAAGCTACTGAATTAACATATTAAAACGAACGTTTATTGAAAGAGCACATTCTGATTTGTAAATACAATGTTCGACTGGTTATCATTACAATAAGAGGAAAGATGATCAGAAATAGAAGCACAACTCACGTACCATTCAGTTACTATATATTTTATAGTGTAACAAATAACAATCAGCAAACAGTTATTCCAATGAAGATACGCAATGTTCACTTAGATACAAATTTAGAATATTGAAATAACAATAGGTGTTGTTTTCAATTTAAATGTAATAATATAACATTTAGATACATTTTGTATCCCTACATTCAAACAAAAACATTTCAATACGACATTTAATAGTCTCCTGGAAGTATAAAGATGTAGAATTAAATCACTACAGAGATTTCATAAACGGTTAATGAGTTGTTCACGGCTCTGCATTAGTCTGTACTCTGTAATGTATAATAGGCAAACTGAAATGACACTGAGTTGCGCAACAGTAAAATGACCAGTCTTCCCTGATACGAGCGAAGCTTTTTGCTCCGTTCCTTAGCTTAGTTGCATTACAGTTTGCCTGTCTGTATATCTCTATAGATTTCTCCAATCAATAAATACATTAATCAAATTTTATTCTATGTAAGTTTACATGAAGTCTACATGAAAAACGTTATAGGTTCAGTTAGAATATCACATCTGAAGGTAGTTGTCTACTAGTCTAATAAATAACTTGTCTTTTTCATTATTGACGTAACACACATTTACATCATTGGTATTGTCCGGTTAATGGAGGTTATTATTAACGACTGTAATTAATATGAGCAGTGAGTAGACAAGTCACAGTAACAGCGGGAGCGAAAGGTTCTGTGTTTTAACGAAGAATGTAAGCAATGGTGTTACTCTGTATATTGGTGAAACGGACGTATATTAAATAACCTAAGATCACTTTCAATGTCTTATTGCCATCCTTTCAACCTCTCTATAATATTCTTTGTCACATCGCGATTGAATATTCAGAAAGTTGACAGAAGCGCTGTATTCGTTACATTTCCAGGTACCCGATTCCGATTCGAGTAAGTACATGCGGGTACTCGATTCCATTTCTTCCTACCCGTCCCAGCCCTATTCCGTACAGTAATGGTAACGTAGCTTTCATGCTTAACACAACTCTTTTTATAGACCGTGTTCGTCTTTGTGTATCGGTTATATATGGTATGATGTGTTCCAAGATGACACTGTTGTACATATACTATATTCAGTAAAACTTGCGAGCTTTCAAAACAAATGTTTGTCAATATATATGCATTTTACACTGCATTTTATGTTCTGTAGATTACCGCTATTGTGGCGACATATTTCGTTGTGTCACATTTGTTTAATTTGTTTATTATGATAATCCCTTCATTTTTTCATAGGTTTTACATTCATGTACGTACAACCTATGGGGAGTGATTTTAAACGTCTATGATGGTAAACACACTAACTGTATCCATTTGTTGAAACACTACAGCTTTGGCGACACCAAGAAGTAATAAATTGTGACACATGTTTTGATTTGATTGAACAAAATAGTGATTTCGAGTTGATTTCTACGAATTATACAATGTTTACTTGGTAGTACTGGATGCGTATTTGACTTGTATTAGTGTTTATTCGTCTGCTAAACAAATTCAAATCAAAACGACATAATAAATAGATGATTGGGCATTCTCTCTGAGACTTGGTGTGAAGCCAGGGTGCCAATGATTGTAATTGAGGAAAGCTGAATGCTGAAGGGAAATCACAAACACATGCAAATACAAGTCAGCCGTTCAAACACAGGAAGATATGGTACAAGTCAAAATAGTGAAATGCTTTGGGCATCAAATTGCCGGTAATCAGGACGATAAATACAAGAGAGAATAATGCAAATACGAAAATGTATGTTGAGCCAATGCCTGTTGTTTGATTCGAATATAAAATAATACTTAACTGCTTTTTAATTGAACAATAACAGTACATTTACCGTCCAGTCTGGCATCAATTCATGTGAAATTGATGACATCATGTATATATTACAAGGTGTTTATTGGAAATCAAAACTACTTTTATTAATGACATAACAAATAATGATATTACGTGCCATCTTATCTTATCTGTTTAAAGATTACATGTTTATTTATTCAATATAATGCATTTGTCTATGACATTGTACTCTTTTAGATAACAAAGGAACGGTATTATAGGTGATACGTAGTGTCTATATTTGATGTCACTACATATGGAACATGAGGGGAGGCGCGAGAGACAGTATTTCTTTCGAATGAAGATATGTTCTGGAAACCACACCTATTTTCAGTTGATATATTTTACGCCAACTGTTATCAGCTAACACGTTTTGGAAGTCAGAATGCACATACAACGGCTGTTTCATGGACGTAATAGAAATGTATAAGGCATGTGATGTCCACGTTTCTCAAGTGTAATCTCTGCTAGTGTGAGTGAAATTTGATGTTTCATGAAAAATGTGTTAATTTATCCTAAATATAATCAATAAATTCTCAAATTCAAGGATAGTATTTGTGTCGAGTGTATTAATACCATTAGTATTGTCAAAAGTCCCAAGAACTACTTAAACTGTGCAATCCATAGAAGAATCTACCCGTGAAGATGCGGGTTAGAAATGGTCTTGAGCAACCCATGCTTGTCGTAAGGCGACTAACGGGATTAGGTGATCAGGCTCGCTGACTTGATCGATGCATGTCATTGTATCCCAATTGCGTAGATCAAATTCATGATTCCAGTCACTTGTTTGTCTGGTCCAGATTCGATTATTTTCAGACAGCCGTCATATAGTTGCAGTATTTCTGTGGCGTTAAACAATAAACAAACACAACAGAATCCAGTTCAGTTATGTCAAAACATTAGATTTTTTACCTGTAGACATTGATAACATCTGTGTTAAATTTTGGGTGAAGAAATTCAGGCAAAAAGCAGGAAGGTTCAGACTGGCAAAGGTTAAAAAGAGAATTTGATTCAAGTTTTGGACGGTGAAAATATTGGTGTATCCTGTTCCTGGGTATATCTTGTACCACGAGTGTTCCTGCTTTGATATGTGTAAACATAAAAGGGCTACAGTCTTGAGAAATCCATAGAACTATATATTTTGAACAACAGTCTGGCTGGAGAAACTTTGCGGAAATTGTCAGGAAAAAGCTATATTTTCTGTGAGATTTGTGTCTCATAAAACAAAATCGGACTTGGCCCTGACAAAATAGCCTGTCTACCACATTTCCCCATACTACATGTTTTGGAAGCCATTGCGAACCAAAGGTCATTAAACTACATGTTCCGGAAGCCATTGTGAACACGTGTTCATGTATTTGTCAGTTGTTCTCCCATTGCATAAGGTGACAGAATGTGTAACTTCATACAATGGCAAAGTTGACTTTCTACAGTGCTGCAGATTAAGATAAACGGACTTCAAATTCATCACAATTTATGTATATTATTGTATATTTGTTGACGATCTTAAAAACAACAACAAAGAAGCAATTAAACAACCACCATATCTCCAACTATCCCAACAAAACAATATTTTCTATTTGGATATTGTTACTAGACAATGCATAATGCTCGCAGTATCTTTCAACGAGAGTGATATGGCATTTCGCCATCAAGATGACAGGGTAATTCAATATATCGCTTATTTTCAGATGCCAATACTGACCAGTTTATTCCATACAAATCTAAAACCTATTTAACCATGACCTACATATTTATTAGCTACTGATATGATGGACACGTTCCAAATAAATGCATCACAAATAGGTATCTAAACCATATGGTAAAATACCTTTAGTATTATAATCAAAGTAAGTTGCGCCTATTACAAACATAAATCGCCCTAAACGAGGTAACGAGACAACGAAGAATTAAACATTACTTATAAATGTCGGTATCAGAGTGAAAGGAAAGGAGTTTTCAATAAATAAATAAATAAATAAATAAATAAGAAATGAAATATTTGTTTAAATCATCAGAGCTCATCACTGTAACCAAATGTAATGAATAAATATCCCCAGATGTTATATTATGACAATATATCCATTTGTCACGTGATATCCACGACTCTATATAAACGTTCTGTTGTTCATGAACTAACTCACAGAGAACTCCACTGTTGATACCCAAAGGTAAGTATGCATTCCGTGTGCCTGAGTAGTAATTGAGTAATATATGTTGCTACAGTAATTCTTCAACTATTATCTGCCTATTTAGCTGATCATCAGGAGTGCAGACTGAACATTTCATCGGAATGAAATAGCAATATCTGAAGGTCACAGTGTTTTCAGTGGTATACCTACAACTGCATTACCATTATGTTTCAGTTCAAGATGACCCTGCAGGTGTTGCTATCGGTTCTGCTGCTGTCAGTAGGTCTGGCAAGGTCTGGCAGTTACGTTAAAAGAGACGTTAGTGAAATAACAAAGGATGTTCTTCAAGGTAATGATGCGTTAGATTTCTGTGAGAATAGCCAGATTGCAAACTTTTTTTTGTGGCATTTAATGGGTTACACTAGGGTATTTGTTGTGTTACGTTTACCACAAACAGAAATGGTCACTCCCACTAACGAACTGGAATTTTGTATTGAGATTGGAGATATGTTAACTCTAGATGCACAACTAGGTGTCTCTTTACTTAAAACTACAAGCCCAAAATTCCCCTGAAAAAAACTTAAAGCCATTTTACCTTTATGGCAGACAAGTATTTTCCAATTTTCTGAAATATAATTATTACTTTCAAACAATTTCTGGGTGAAATATGTTTCGTAAAAAAGTCAAGGATAAATTCAACATTCAACCCTAACCCAACGCACAGACACACAAACTAATGTATAGAACGATCTGTCCGTTGGACACTACGTTGACCTAGGATGATGCAGCTTTATATTTGTATTTCTGTTTTGGTTCCGACTCTGCTATGTTAGCTCTTAGGCATCATTTTCTCTTCTCTTTTTTCATTTTAAATGTGAAGATGATTATTTTAGGACCGTCGGCAGCCGTGATTGCAAACCCAGAGTTGACAGAAGAGAGTGAAGGTAATTCTTCACTAAGATTCAAGTGAAATGTCCCTTATGTCAAATGGTTTGGGACTCTCAGGGAATGGGTAACAAAATACTACGTCAGTGTCCGAACACGTGTCGCACCATCTGTCGGTTTCACCAACTTGTTAAAAGTCTTATACCAGCTTAGCCCCCTTGTTTCCTGAACATTGACGCGAATTACTGAAAAACTGTTTAAAGCGGCGTTGAAGTCTGATTCGACAGAAGAAAGGACACACACTGCAGAATGTAGTTTGATATTGAGGCATTATTTGATGATTTTTGTTTACATCAAAGTCTCAGGGAATGGCACCGAAACAACAGTCGATCTTTGTCCATCAAAACTTAACACAAAACAAAAAGTAGTGGTAGCCAGACGTGAATGAATCTTTTGAAATCCATTTTTCATGTTTTTCTCCTTCTCTTGATATCCTATGTTCTATCCGTGGCTGTTGGCAACAATTTTAAGCTTCTTGCATCAGTTGTGTTAAGATACAATATGCTTTGTTTTTCTTTGTATTGTATATAATGAAGGCTAGCTTTTAATATACGTACATCAATGTGAATTTTAGCTCCGTGTTTTCTATGTTTCTTCAACAAGCTTGTTGTGTTGTTTGTCCTATAACTTTCGTGCTTAAATATATTATATTCACGCCATGGTTATCCGCAGAATCTGCTGAATCGCCAGAAACGACGGAAGAAAGTGATGAAAACGATGAAGGTAACAACACCAACAATGTTTCGACGGGATATGCCGCTCTCCCATATATGTCTTTCGATTTAACTATCCTTCACTGTTTCTTCCATCACTAATGTCAGAGTCACATGTGCGTTATATCTGTCATACACCAAGCGGAACAGACTCACCCTTTTGTGAAATTTTCATCACTATCTGACACTGATTCATCAATTTGCCGTACTCTTTTACTTCGCTATGACTTTGTAATGCGTTTTGCTGCTTTTATTTACTATATGACGCTATATATAATTGATAGCTGCAAAATAAACTTATTAGGTTAACTTTCCCTTACACATCAAGTTTATTTGTAGAAAGCCACTAAATACGATCTGGCTTTAGGCTATTCCACAATATAGATGGGTACAAGATACAAATGTAGCAGGATAAACTATACACATCATAAACAGATACTTCCATGTCTCTACATATCTCCCAGAAATATATTGAACAGAATTGTTCGAAAATGTTTATTTTTCTCGTATTTTCCATCCTCTGAATCCTCACAATCGACAGAAGAAGAAGATGACGACGACGACAACGATAGCGATGATGATGAAGGTAATATCAAATCCCGCAGAGGACGAAATACAGATTTATTATACTGTGTACGAGGAAGGATTACTAATTTGTACCAACAACAACACGATGGCGGACAAAAAGGACAACTAAACAGTCCCTTGCATCCTGATAACTTGGCACCTGAAGCAACCAAAACAGGCTTGAACCACTTACATTTACCTTTTAGTTAGAGATCTTTCCTTTTAGTGTCCTTTCGTGGATCTTCAACAAATTTGTCAGGGTACCATATACAGCACTTTTCTTTACTCTGTATACAATGTGATAGCCTTTTCATATCAACATGTGGTTATATTTTTAGAATCACCATCAGAAGAATCCGAGTCAGCAGAAGAAAATGGGAACAAGGAAGAAGGTAATCCTGCATTAAACTCCTTCGCTAGAAAATATGCTGGTTTGGACAGGAATGGGAAATGAGAGAGATGTCTAATGTCTTTGTCAGAATTAAGTGAAAACTTTGCATATCAAACCTTAGTTTATCATCAAGCCAAGCAGAGGAGAACTTCAGTTTTGTTGCATCACTGTGAACCATACCAATACACAATACCTAGCTTTTTGAAAAAGAGCTGTTTCAAACATCACTCTTTGTCTACTAAACGTCCTTATTTAAATTTGTGTTCACGTAGCTAGATTGTATTCCTGTCTCTGTTGTACATAATACCCAGACTCAGTTTGTTAGCTGTTTGTTTTGCTGTATTCCCATGCTATGATATAATCATTTGATTTGTGAATGCGACTTAATTGTTTTAGAGTCGTCCTCTGAATCATCCCCGAGTCATCGGAATCGGCAGAAGAAAATGAGAGCGAATAAGGTAATCTTATCTTAATGTGAGCATTAGCAAAAGCAATACGCGTTCGTAAAGTGTGACCATTCTACTTCTCTGAACACTTCTTGATGTGTCTCTCCATGGTGTTTCTGGTGAACAATTGTCCTTCATCAACCCACGGGACGGCTGACAGATCGTGTCTGGCTTGACTTGAATGATGCATGTCATCTTATCCCAACGGTCCAATGAATCATAAAATCTGTTCAATCATGAATTGTTCATGGACCCACCAAGCCCTGCTTGGAAACGACTACGTTGTAATTGTATGGACTTCAGAGGTCTTAAGAGCAGGCTTATACGAAAAAATACCTTTTTGAACCTACTGTGAAGAACACTCATGACTTACATTGACTCATGACTTACATATGTATATATATACATATATGTGTGTGTGTGTGCGTGCGTGCGTGCGCGCGCGTGTGTTTTGCATTATTTTATGTGATTGAAGATTCTGGTCTCAAAGTCCGTTTTCATTTTTCAGCGATACTTGAATAGAGGACTAAACACCTCGGAGACCTCCCTTTATCAGGAAGACCAAACACTCATTTGACATTATAATTGTATGTACAAATAAATAGTTTGTGACATAATGTTCTTTGTGTTTCTTTTCGGAACACCTTTGAATTGCCAAAAGTCTGTGTGTTAGTTCTTTGAGAGGATCATGCAGTACAGTGCACGTGTCCTCCATACACTGCTACCAAGGACAAGTGAATCACTGGCCGGATATAAATGTCATAACGACTGGCCATATCTTTAACCCTGGTGCTACAATGTTTGTATGGATGTACGTGCTTTGAGTTTCTAGAATCCACATGGTATTAACATGTGTGCGTTTGTTGTAACGTGCTGATTCCTGTGTTGAAACTAAAAGGCAATTAGTCCGTAAAAGACCTAGAAAAAGAACAATGAAAACGTTCACAAATGAATGCCGATGAATGCAAAGCTATCACTATGGCAGTACAAAATAGTGGGGCAGGACAAATTCAAAGGTAATATAATACAAGAGCAGTGATTATAGCAGTAAAGACAATGGTGTTAACATTCATCTCTCAGTAACAGCAATCCAACTTGCAGGTGAAGCAGTGTCCCAGAGTATAGGGCCATCACGCAAAAATATGGTCCTTGGAGCTCTTTCTAGATCTTTCTGTCTAAATATAGCTCAAGTCTAAATATAGCATATCACTGACTCTCACTGAATATCATATGTACAATGTATTAAACGTATAACATTGTTACACACACATAACAAAGTCGAAACTAAACCAAAGAAACTCTTTCACGCCTCACTCAACAATATTCCAGCTAAATTTGCTCTTATTTGCTTTTCCTGTGTCTCCAGGTCACGGAGAATCAGTGGTTAGAGGCCCGTATTGCAATTCTCGTGCGTTTTCCTGGCGCATAGCAAGCCAAATTTTTTCGTGTACGCCCTATGGGCTGCAAAGCCTTATATTTAGGTGGTATTAAGGGCTTGCCCAACTTTAATTTTTTATGAGACCTGAAGAGTTATCGTTTGACGTTTGATCATTTCAGTAGCTTCAAAATATTGTGGAAAGACTTTCGCCTGTATCCCCACTTAAGTTTCATTCTAGTCAAATCATATAATCTGATAAGGATGAGTTTTAAAGTCTTTTATAAATTGTATCAGAACATACTGAAAGACATATTCTACTTCTAAAAATGCCACTCAAAGAAAGTTTTCCTCATCGTTAAAATTTAGGGGAGATACGGACGGAAGTCTTACCACCATGGAAATTGAAATGTGATTTCCTCATATACAAATATGTTTGGACATAGTTCAAGATACCAGTTGTATAGATCACATAAGAGCTTAATTCAACCAGAACTATATCTATCTGTATTGACATCTAGAAATATCAGACGCACACTTGTCAAATTTCGATTGGGCTTGTTAGACTTATCAGTAAATAAGGGCAGACGATTTTCAATAGAGAGACGTTTAAGTATATGTCGATTATGTAACTCGGCTATAGAAGATGAAATTCACTTCGCTTTTGTATGCCCACATTATGCTGATTGAAGAAAAAAATATATCCCAAATAATTACCTGTTAAAATATCCTTCATCTGCCTTTGCTTCCATTCTATCCTCCAAAAATGAAAATGTAATACGTAATCTTGCGCTTTATGTAAAACATGCTGTTTTCCTTAGAAGCAATATCTTATCTGAACTGTAATTTCTTTGTGAAATGTATGTAACATGTGCTGTATATATACTTGTATTACTTGTCTATGGGCCGGAGGCCTTAAGTACAATATAAATCTTTGACTTGACTAGTTTACACATGTCTGCTGCATTGATACAATACCATACGTCGAGTATTTGGTGGGTTTTTTTTCTAAAATAAATGATAAACAAATGAAAAATAAACAACTGCATTTCAGTGATGATTCACATATAATCATGACTGTAACAAAACATCCTCATACATGTCGATGGAAAAACAATCATCACTGAAAGTTATGATATGAAGAATAACCTGTTTACTGTACATGGTAATGCTTTAATCAAAGAATACTGTAGTCAACATGATTCATAGAGGGATTTCCACTTTTTAAATGGAACGTGTTTGTGGGTATTTTTGGCAAGAATTAGAAGAAATATTACTTTTTAGCAAAGATCATGTGTAAGCTCGAGCTGTTTTTTATAATGGTAGCTACGCCCCTGTTCGCATGTGTTGTTGACGCGGCATGGACGCCTTGTAACATCACTATTTGACAATGATTCACAAACACATGCCCATTACAATTATGTAACTTACACATTGTACCCTAAATGGGTAGAGCTTCCGTTCGGGGGAATATCAGAAGGACAACGATACAGTTATTTCCAATGTTGTAGAGAGCACTCCACTTACTAAGGAAAACACTGAGATATTGTATTCATGTCAATGATATTTTCAGCCCCTGTCAGATCTGAACTTGAACATGCGAGGTCGACGTCTGGGTCAGACTAAAGGCCCAAAAGATGTTTAACATGAAGGTGTATGAACCGTTCATATACATACCCATGAAGTCCGGTATGATACATACATATCTAAGGTGTGTAAATATTTGCAAATTTGAAAATTAAATGTGTTTCCCGACCTAAGTAAATTCACATGTTTCCAACCCGAGTAAACTTAGAACGAAATCGGAAATTTCAGCACCCATTGAAATTCAAAGGAATGCATTGGAAATACTGTATGATCATGTATTTACCGGGGTATCTGTTTTGCAATTCATGTTTGGAAATCCCTGGCAATCCGGTCAGGGCACACATGAACGAGGTGCTTGTGCATACTAAAATGTACGATGAGCATATGTTTCAAAGGTATAGATTCATATGAAATATATGCCCGGAGTTAGGAAATATCTGAAACATACGTAAATCCGGTCATGACATGTATTTCCTACTGTATTTACGTTTATTTCAATGGTTTACTATCCGGCTTTTGGTCCTGTGAGGCTCGCTGACTTAGTTGGCACATGTCATCGTATCCGAATTGCGTAGATCGATGCTCATGCTGTTGACCACTGGATTGTCTGGTCCAGGCTCAATTATTATAAACCGTATATAAGAGACAATATAGACAAGAACATTTATCATTTGGCATATGATATTTATCCGTAATAGTTATTAAGTGTCACTGTTAAAAGCGGCAAAACATAGCCTCTTAACATTTCTCTTAAAGTGTTAAACAAAGTAAATTTACATTAAAAAGAAAGATAAAACATATTTCAAATATATTCTTCTAATTTAGATTTGAATTTAAATGAATTATAAAACCCTTTCCATAATTGTAAGAAATTTGATGATAATGGACGTTTGCAAAAGGTCGCTGCTGGCACCCGTCAAAAATATGCCAAGGACAAAAATATGCAAATGTACAGAGAAGATAATGAGGATAAAGAGAACGCCTAAGGAACAAGAAGGTGCTAGGAAAAACATATTTGATAATTGTGAGAAGACATTCCTGAAAGCATAAGAGTCCATTGCACGATTCCGACATAATCATCAGCAAGTGTTTATAAATAAGCATCTCTCGGTGTGACGCAACCGGGATTCGAAACCCCGATTTTCACTTCTCCAGGCAATCGCTCTATCTGTTGGTCCGTGGAGGCTGCTATGCGTTTTGTACATGTGGTTCTCTATCTACGATATCTGACTTCTATAGCTTCTTTTGGTGGCAAATTCCTCCCGCGTCTCACTGCAAGAGAGAAATTATTTGCATTAATCCTCGATTATTTTGTGGTACAACAATCACGATAACCAACAGCATTGACCAAGGACGACACATTGATCAGAATTATCATAGTGTTTAGTGTCTGTTTTCTCTTTAAAATATTCAAATCTTAAAAACCGGCATCATGCGTATCAGTCTATGGTACTGGAGTCTGATCTAGACAATTCACTGGTTGACATTTTGTGTATATATCTCCGCAATAGAAACACGATGATATGCATCAATGAAGTCACCAAACCTGACCACCAGATGACCGCCTGCAAGCATGAAGTTGAAGACCAACTCTATGCCGGATCTTTGTGTCTGGTTATCGAGGGTAATGAACGCCTGACACCTACACACCAGTCACCTCTTCCTCATTGATGTACATATATCATGGGTGATGCATAGCCTGTCAACCACAGTGTTTCTTTTTTCATCAGTATATTTTCTCTATATCTGTACTTCTAGGTGTAACAAAACCGAAATAGCAATTTTTACATATCTTGGAAAACACAACCGACGTTCGTCTTCAGAAAATGTCTGAATATTGATAATAAACATATATGTCTTTATAGGATTCCGTAGCAAAGCCGATGTGGTAAACCCCAATGACGAAAATCATTTCCCGTGATGATGATCACTGGATTGTCTGATCCAGATCGGATTATTGACAATGTCAGGAAATTACAAAGTTAATGGGGCTGAAAGAACATGATACGTACATTTAATTCCAGCGTCTTTCTTTATAGTGGACAAAAATAAGTTAGGGATAATGGTATTTTTATGATTGATATATTATCAGTGTGTCAATGAATAAATAGATCATTATTCATAATTTTAAAATTTACATATATCCCTAACTATTTCTGTCCAGTATATATTGTGCCAACATTTGTATTTCAAACTTATTATTTGACATGCACACTTAGTGTCATTCAGTGTTTAACACTATGGGGCGGTGCGGTAGCCTAATGGTTAAAGCGTTGGCTCGTCACGCCGAAGACCCGGGTTCGAATCCCCACATGGGTATAATGTGTGAAGCCCATTTGTGGTGTTCCCCGCCGTGATGAAGCTAGAATATTGCTAAAAGCGGCGTAAAACCTAAGTCAGTCAGTCAGTTTAACACTATCGTGGTCAGTAGTTTTGGCAGTTGTAATAAAAAAGAATGCATTCTTTCAGTATATAACCATACTATCTTCAGCTTCATTTGATGACAGTTGTGTTCCTACCAGTCAGAAAATGATAGATATAATCATGTATATATACGTAGATAATGAACGTGTGCTGTCACCGTCAGTATTTAAGACCGCACCATTACGCAAGAAGATTTATAACTAAGCCTAAGAAGCCTAATGCTGTGAAATCGTAGAAATTTTAGGTTTACTAAAAAAAGGTGATCATGTAACTATCAGAACAACTCCATAACATTAACCAAGACAAAAAACACAAAGTCAGAATTTAATGCCGCATCGTGTGTCTCACAGTCCCTGAACTGCATCATTTTCCGTTCCGATCAGCCCTTGTTGTAGTGATGAATCCCTAAATAGAGTATGTCGAGATTTCCTCACGGTCAGGTTCTGAATCCCCCATCTCATTGGGGCTCATTTTCAATTAAAAAGGAATTATTTGTTCCTGACAAAATTGTACACATTCAGAGACTAAGATAAATGTAGAAATATTCCGAGGACGATTCCATTGATAGCAAATGTTCAAAATGCAATAGGGGAAACCGATTTTAGAACAAACATGTGTATCGAGAAGATAAGGTCCTCGGCACTCTACTGCTTGTCATAAGATTACCTTGAAACGTGTGGTCAGTCATCACTGACTTGGTTGATTGGGTGGATTCTTGCCTCAATGGCTATAATGTGTGAAGCCCATTTCTGGTGTCCCCCGCAGTGATATTGCCGGCATATTGCTAAAATCGGCGTAAAACCCAATTCACTTACTTACTTGCCTCAACGTAGGTTAACGTAATCAAAGCCTGGTTTCTGTAGCCAAGAGTCGTTTATTTACAGGCCACTTGCATTTGACTGGAAACTACTTCATGTTCAACATGTCCCTCATTACATTTTTCACGGTGGTAGTTCCGTGGAATAGCGTCAGGAATAATCAAACACTTACATATTAATGAATGTTGCGTGACTGGTGTCATCACTGAGTTTTCTGTGACCCAGTCATATAATGTTCACCATTATTGTGCATTTTACATATAATGGAATCTCTCTCGGCGAATGATCGAGAGAGAACATTCTCTGGCGTTAACGTGCTCTCAATCTGGAAAGGTCTTTACAACAAGACGCCATGAGTTGGGGTTGGTTGGTTGTTGTTTAACACCGCACTCAGCAATATTCCAGTTATATTGCTGCGGTCTGTAAATAATCGAGTCTGGACCAGACAATCCAGTCGTCAACACCATGAACATGGATCTACGCAATTGGGATGTCAACCAAGTCAGTGAACTTGACCACCCTATTCCGTTAGTCGCCTATTACGACAAGCATGGGTTGCTGAAGATCAATTCTATCCCGGGTGTGAAGCCATGAGTGCTTGTAAAGAAGGTCTTGACTACTGAACTTATACATACATTGCCGACTAGAGTCTAAACAGTTCTGTTTTAGTAAGAGTTAAGTCACGGCAATTTTGTTGGGTCAAATCGTTTTGGGCAGTGGGTAATGATATTGCTGTAAACAAAACTCGCTTACTCAATCATAAGATCTTGCACTGATGTCGTTCATCAAACCAAGGGCCTGACTTCGATTTCCAATATGTGTACATTGAGTGAAGAACATTTCTGGTCATCCAACGCAGGGGTACTGATTCCACATCAGCATTTCCGAAAGCCATACTGACTCACTTATCCACCCCTGACATACGTACCTTCATGGCTGGACGTGTCACGAAGATTGACGTAGTTCCTAGGGCGTCGACCTTCCGCCACAGTGGCTGACACGAGAAGAACCAGAAGCAACACCCGGAACATCATTGTGAGCTTAAAAGGGGAGAATACAGTTAATGTAGGAAAGCGCAGCTACAGTTCTTTAGTGAAGGCTATCAGAAACGAAATTCGCTTGTTTAAGGCGGAATAAGCTTGAAACCTACAATCATAGGTTTCCGGCAAAGGACTGCATAGCTCAAACGACGACACCTTCCGCGGTACCAGATCAGCTGAACTTACCTTCAAAGTTGTTCTCTGATGATAGCTTTAGGTACGAGTATAATATTATGTATATAACATTACATTACCTGGTGGCATCTGCGAGTAAGGTATTTGATTAATCAAGCTAACAACAGGTGTATAGCAAAATGGTATAGCCCACAAGTGTATTAAATGGTTAGAGAAATTACTTTTTCTTATAAACGGGACTTTTATTTTTAAAAAAAACATTTGTTCGATTGTACCTACAAGGGTCAAATTTCTGAGACAACAAATCACAGGTATGATTACAATGAAGATATATTTCCCGGTTCAGATAAGTGGAAATTATTGTGAAACATGACTTGAACGACAAGAAGTAGTTATTCATGAGAAATGACAGCTCAAGTTCAAATAATGAATAATTTCAAAGGTCTGAAGTAATTGTTTCGACGATACATGCCTTCACCTCATATCAGTGTGCAGATCCTAATGGAATATGTTACACATGTGATGAATTATGATTTGAATGTGTGAAACGATCCTTGTGAGTTACCTGTGTATTAGATATCTATACATATACATTTATGATGAATTATGATTTGAATGTGATGAGAGAAAGCAGATAGGAGGACGTCATATATATAAATAATCATCTTACCAACTCAAAACGGAATTGAATGGTACTTTCTTGTACACAGCTTGGTACACAGGTTGTCATCATTTTAATTAGGTTATGCCATGTTACATTTCCATACTTTTTAGCTTGGGAAGAACAGTCGTATTGTTGGGGGATTGTTTCACTTTTTCGCGAGGGATTATTAAGAGTGAATGATCGATAATTCTTCTTTAATTTTGAGTCAGTCCGAAAACTAAATATACATAAATTGTTCATGATATTGCTCGTCACGCCGAAGACCCGGGTTCGATCACCACAATGGTACAATGTGTGAAGCCCATTCCTGGTCTACCCCGCCGTGATATTGCTGGAATATTGCTAAAAGCTCACTCACTCACTCGTGACACGTGTGAGAGAGACTTTAGTCCATTTCCGCCATTTTGACGCCTGCAGAAATATGCTACCTGACTGTGCACTGGTTCAATACAGCCTATTAACATGAAACGTATGGTATATAATATATGCAAATAAGTTTTCAGACACCCCTGGTATGGTAGCTGAATTGTAGTATCGGTGTAGTGTTTCTCGTCGTATGTACATCTGTTGGTATCTAGATTAGCAATAATACACACGCAGATGCTGCCCAGCATAATTGTGCGTCTATATAACACACACCATGAGGAAATCCTGAGGGAACATCAAGGTCACCCGACAGCGTTATTGTTAGTGAGAGGTAAGTTCAGCTGCTTTATATGTCCTGACGGACCGAAGGGTACGGTTTTACGAAAGCCTAATGCTGCCTCTTTTGTAGCATAAAATATTTTGTTCAGCTAAAGTTCTGTTTGTTTGAGTGGCATTTTTAGAAGTTGAGACGTACAATATGGAACACGTTTTTATGGATAACAACTTCTTTATTTCGTGAGTGCGACGTTTCGATACAGATTCTTGTACCGTTGTCAAGCAAGAGTGACTCTTTTTTATCCATAAAAACGTGTTCCATAAAGTTCTGTTGCTTCGCTTATTTCCTTGTTGCTTCAACTATATTTTCGTTGCTTCGAGTATTTTCTCGTTGATTCAAAAACTTGAAGGTGGCAGCATTAGGCTTTGGTTGGCTTAGTTGTCTGACCTCTGCAGTCCTCTTGCCCGGAAGCTAATGATTGTAGGTTCGAATCCCGGTTCGCCCTCAATACGTTTCAAGGTTTGTCAGCACCATATCAGTTTGTGGCGTTCACTGAGTGGGTTAACCTCCAACACCGGCATCACTTCGGTCCCTCCTTCCGCATCAGGCTGGGCAGCCCGTGATCACGTGTTTACGGTTACGGTGGCGGTTAGCAGAGATGTGTTATGATTATGGAAATGAGTCAGAGAGTGAGTTTAGTTTTATGCCGCTTTTAGCAATATTCCAGCAATATCACGGCGAGGAATGAAACTGCTGCAGTGTTGTTTTTGTTGTTTTGTGTTTGTTTGTTTGGTTTTTTGGGGGTGCTGTTTTGTTGTTGTTGTTGTTGTTACATTCTTTCATTATACTCACTTAGTCTATGTCACATTCGATCAGGTACTACTACTATATGCCCTCTTTTTGAAGCACACTAATCTCCTTTTCGTAGTGATCTTGTATGTAAATACATATTACATTTCATAGTCAGCCAAAACAACAATATATTTAATATTTTTGTTTCGTATTTGTGTTCTGAATTGCCAAACCTTTGTTTTCAAACAAAGAACTCAGCTGCAGCTACTCTTGTCGGGTTTTTTCCCCAATTCTGCCTACAGTGCCATTCTGCCTACACATTAAAACCAGTGATCGAGGAAGTAAGGTTAATGTGCTGACCGGTTCTACCCTTACCAAAATGAAGTTGACTAAAAGTTAATTGTAGGCAATACGGGGAAAATGACATTTTTCTTCTTTTTTAAGCTCACAGTGATGTTCCGCGTGTTGCTTCTGGTTCTTCTCGTGTCAGTCAGTCTGACGGAAGGTGCACCCTGTTGCCCCAATGGGGACATCGTAGAGCTGCAGGTATTCATGGCCAGTATCATGTTTTGTCAGTGTGTGCTGACGTGAATGGGGGAGTGAGTATGGTTTTCCGAATGTACGATATTCCAGGCACCAGAGGTGTTCTTCATTGGAACCATGTTGGAAATCGAAGCTGGGCATTTGCTGTGATGAGCGAACACTTTCACCACTGTACGATCATTGGGAACCTGTGATGGAGAGAGCAAGAATGGTTGAATTTGCCAATATTGAACCAATATATCATTACATATAGCCAAAATCGATTGTATCCTACTAGCATGATAACGATGTTAGTAGCTAAAGAAGTCACATATACATAGATCTATATCCACGTTATTGATCACACCAACTTCTAAATGCAACTCCAAGAAGTGAGTATTCCTTGCCTTACAGGAAGAACCCGCCACACATAGATGTGTAGGTGTTTGCAAGTAGCATGTGTGTGACGCACTAGTCCCACCGTGTGCTCTGTAATGGTATGTTGAACATGAAGCGGTTTCCAGTCAAATAGAACTGGTCTGTAAGTAGTCGAGTGTCGGTAAGACAAACCAGGTGTTGATATCATTACGAGCAACGTCAACCTACGTTGGGGTAAAAAGACGCGCAATCAACCAAGTAAATGAGACTGACTATACTCTATCCAATGTAGTTTTACCATAATAAACAGCGTTCTATGGACTGAATCTGTCCGACACCCACGGACCAGGTGAATGAGAAACTATTCTGCCTTTGGAATAAAACCTTGGCTCAGCAGATATATTAATACCTTCATGTCTGACGCGTCAATTACCATACCATAAATCCCTGTGTCAATGAAGATCAAACATCACTGATTGATTTGTAATAGATTTCCCAGAATGTATTTTGAACATTTAAGCTTGGTATTACGTCGTGGTTTATTAATTTGATTGAAAACATTATATTTTCAGAGTCGTCGTCGAAATCGCTCTTAGAAACGTCTTCGGCGTCATCTTCGATGCGGCGAGTAGACAGCAAACGAGATGAAATTGGTAAGCTAATGATGATATTTTGATGTTCTAAGTTCAAGAGCAAGCAAATTCAAATACATGTACCAACTTTACAGACTTAAACCTTCAGAACATACCTAAGGACAACTTATGTAAGAAAAGGAAAGCTGAAAACAGATGCTGAAGGAACGCATGCCAAATAGTCTTCCCAAACGAACAAATAAGAGGTTAACTTCATAAGAGGACTGCACTCTACTGGGTGATTTATAAACAATATGTATCAATGAGTACGTAATCGTATGAACAATTTAGTTTGATTTGGGTCGTAATAACGGAATTACTCACAAGAAACCATAGTTCAGTATATCTCTGCGTGTCATCATATATTTATAGCAAAGTTATGTAAGTTAAAGTAGATAATTCAGTACTTTGATAGACAAGGGCTACAACTGTATTTAACGTGCAACTTGTAACGTACATAAACAATCCATTACATTTAGATCCAGAATGGGCTGTATAAAGATGTATATTCAACATATCTGACAGTGATTGAAATTACACATTTTGATTTCCAATATGAAGTGTATTTTGGTATTGTATTGGGACATTGAATTTGGTATGTTAAAACATTATCTGGTTATCGTCCTCAGTATATCATATATGATAGTGAGGGCATATTGAAGCCATTCCTATGACAGTTCATTGATACTATTAAATCATGCAGTGAAATTCGTAACTGGCATAGGTCACTGATCAGTTATTTAACATGGTTATGTTTCAGACACTGGATGGCTAAATTATACACTATGATAAAGGTAGGTGATCCTGGCATAGTTGGACATCTTAGGCACAACCTCAGTACAGGACTAGGACATGTTAGGCACATCCTCAGTACAGGACTCGGACATGTTAGGCACATCCTCAGTACAGGACTCGGACATGTTAGGCACATCCTCAGTACAGGACTCGGACATGTTAGGCACATCCTCAGTACAGGACTCGGACATGTTAGGCACATCCTCAGTACAGGACTCGGACATGTTAGGCACATCCTCAGTACAGGACTCGGACATGTTAGGCACATCCTCAGTACAGGACTCGGACATGTTAGGCACATCCTCAGTACAGGACTCGGACATGTTAGGCACATCCTCAGTACAGGACTCGGACATGTTAGGCACATCCTCAGTACAGGACTCGGACATGTTAGGCACATCCTCAGTACAGGACTCGGACATGTTAGGCACATCCTCAGTACAGGACTCGGACATGTTAGGCACATCCTCAGTACAGGACTCGGACATGTTAGGCACATCCTCAGTACAGGACTCGGACATGTTAGGCACATCCTCAGTACAGGACTCGGACATGTTAGGCACATCCTCAGTACAGGACTCGGACATGTTAGGCACATCCTCAGTACAGGACTCGGACATGTTAGGCACATCCTCAGTACAGGACTGTTAGGCACATCAGTAGGGACACATCCTCAGTACAGGACTCGGACATGTTAGGCACATCCTCAGTAGTACAGGACTCGGACATGTTAGGCACATCCTCAGTACAGGACTCGGACATGTTAGGCACATCCTCAGTACAGCACTCGGACATGTTAGGCACATCCTCAGTACAGGACTCGGACATGTTAGGTTAGGCACATCCTCAGTACAGGACTCCTCAGACATGTTAGGCACATCCTCAGTACAGGACTCGGACATGTTAGGCACATCCTCAGTACAGGACTCGGACATGTTAGGCACATCCTCAGTACAGCACTCTCCGGACATGTTAGGCACATCCTCAGTACAGCACTCGGACATGTTAGGCACATCCTCAGTACAGGACTCGGACATGTTAGGCACATCCTCAGTACAGGACTCGGACATGTTAGGCACATCCTCAGTACAGGACTCGGACATGTTAGGCACATCCTCAGTACAGGACTCGGACATGTTAGGCACATCCTCAGTACAGGACTCGGACATGTTAGGCACATCCTCAGTACAGGACTCGGACATGTTAGGCACATCCTCAGTACAGGACTCGGACATGTTAGGCACATCCTCAGTACAGGACTCGGACATGTTAGGCACATCCTCAGTACAGGACTCGGACATGTTAGGCACATCCTCAGTACAGGACTCGGACATGTTAGGCACATCCTCAGTACAGGACTCGGACATGTTAGGCACATCCTCAGTACAGGACTCGGACATGTTAGGCACATCCCTCAGTACAGGACTCGGACATGTTAGGCACATCCTCAGTACAGGACTCGGACATGTTAGGCACATCCTCAGTACAGGACTCGGACATGTTAGGCACATCCTCAGTACAGGACTCGGACATGTTAGGCACATCCTCAGTACAGGACTCATGTTAGGACATGTTAGGGGACTCGGACATGTTAGGCACATCCTCAGTACAGGACTCGGACATGTTAGGCACATCCTCAGTACAGGACTCGGACATGTTAGGCACATCCTCTGTACAGGACTGGACATGTTAGGCACATCCTCAGTACAGGACTCCTGAACCGTATTTTTAAAGATTCTTAGAATTTTCTTAGTTTTTGTCCTACAATTCCTAAAGTCGGTCTTAGTTAGAATTTAGCTCTAAGACTTATCTATAAACATGCTTAGACTTTTAGGTAAGTCCTGAGAGTAAGTATTATTTTAAAGATTCTTTAGTTTGAATTTTCTTAGTTTTTGTCTTAAAATTCCTAAAATCGGTATTAGTTTAAATTTATGTCACAGAATTATCTATAAACGATCTTAAAAACTCTCAGAAAAATTCTACGAGTCGTAACTAATGACCTTTAAACTCTCGTCGGCAAAAAGCGTTAAAACGTCACTCGGGGAAAACCTTGCTTTTCTTTGGGGTGCTACTACATTCGAACCAACAAGGAACTTTACAAGAATGTTCTGCGTTCTTGAAGCCCGGATACTCCCAGTGCCAGTCACTCAGGAAGGTACCAAACCTAAAACAGTAAGGCCATTTAAGACCCAATTCCACCCAAACTTCTGTTGGAATTTATTGACAACTTGATATTAACTGTAACCAACACGATAAAACTGAGTCTGAATTCCCGGTAAGGTTACATCTTCCTTCAAGAAGGTGGTAATTAAACCATTAACCACTAACTGTGACGAAAAAAGCTATCTCCTGTTTTTCAAAACTTTGGAAAGGGTTGTGAAAGTAAGACTGTTTTCTCACCTTACTTAAAATCCACTTGTAGGAATGTTTCAATCAGCCTATAGGCCAAGGCATGGTCCTGAAACGACACTGATAAGGTTGGTAAATGACTTGTGTTCTGTTGATAGTGGAAATGTAGCGCTACTCCAACTTCTATCATTTAAGTACTTTTGACAATAACAACTGTATGCATGTTCTGACATCATGAATAGTCCGTTCTGGACCAGAACATCCAGTGATCTGGTAACATGAGCAATGATGTTTGGTGACAGAATCCTATAAAGGAATATACTTGTTGTCATCAATATTAAGTTATATTCGGAAAACGAACAGCATTGGTTATGTTAGTTTTGAGGCTAGTTACGGGATCGGAAGGTCAGGCTCGCTGGCTTTATCGATGCATGTCATCGTATTTCATTTGCGCAGATATGTGCTGAAAATGTCTACCACTGGATAATGTATACCAGAATCGATCATATACAGACAAGGACCATATAGGTGGAATAGTGTTGTCATTAAGCATCCAAAGCAAACACTATAATACCCTGTACACACCCCGACCAGTATGTAGTCATCGGCCAGTGTTTTTGGTTACCATGATTGTGGTGCCACACGGCTTCATAAGAAGAGATGAAACAATGATGGACATGTCAGAGCCACGAGCGTCAGAAGTGACTCATCTCCAAATCGTGTTTCTGTTTCAGGAAGAGATGCACCAGGAGTCCCCACGAAAATCAGATTTCTTCATTAAAGGACCGCTTATTGAATCTGGACACATTTGTAAAAATTCGAAAATACAATATAAATAGTTTTTAAGACGTCTGAGTATCTTTGTGAGACAATTTTGTTCTGTTCTTAGTCCTCCGGCCCAAACAACAACGGTGTCATAACAGTTATCAATATGCATGCTGGATGCATAGACACTGCACAGTTTTGATTCATTGAAATGTATGATACATGGACACCACCACGATACGTAAGCGGAAAAGGTATTAATTAAATAGCAGTCTTTCAATGGTTGAATGGATAGAGCATCTGATTGTTGAAATGCCAGACGCTCAGGTTTAAGGAGATAAATAAGACTTCGGGATCAGTATTCTGTATCCAAGTACCTCAGAGAGATAGCGCTAAAGTCCAGACTAATACAGGCACACATACACACGCACATACACACACACACACACACGCACGCACGTACACGTATGCTTACGTAAGTGCAATAACTCGCCCTGATGACGGTAACCTAACTTTACCTAAATTAAGTTAAGAGCTTAATTTTAATATTCTCCAATACACAATAAGTCTTATGACACCGGAATTTCTGAATATATGAACGTAACGACACCTTATTTCGCTTTGGAACCACCAATAATTAATATACATCCTCAACATGCTATTAAGATGACGATAAATGCTGTCGTCAAGTGTGTGGCTTTTGCCTCAAGTTTCCTCGAAAATTTGCTTTAATGACACGCGACCATATTTTCATTTCCAACATATCGAAACTTGCAGTGTTCAAATCTCATTCCGGCTATATATGTGGCATTACAATAGTTGCAAACGTTCTGGAACAAACATCAAATTTTGAGGTTTGTGTTACAGGTGTATACAGAGAAAATGACATCTGTAGAATGTTTACCGTTTGTGAATAACAAATATGCTCTCCATACCCCTAAAACAAATGACAAACTGTTTGGCTACTTGGAAGAAGACCATGTCCATTCGCTCAGTTTAAAATTGATTCCACATCATTTAGAAGAACAAGGACATGTCTAGACATCAGAAAATGGAGCTTGGATCCTCTTGATTAACATGATTGTATATGTCATCAGTGTATGTCATCTGTGTTGTATAATTCACACACTTGGGGTCTTCACACAAGCAAACTACCAGAATTAACATGTACATTTGAGTGATATGTCAAAAGCTTGTGTTGTTTAACAAGGCTACAATAGCACTGCCCATGCAGTGGCTACATAATGTTATCGCATAATAGATAGGGTGGTCGGGCTCGATGACGTGTTTGATGGTGTGTCACTATACTCCATAATAGATAGGGTGGTCGGGCTCGATGACGTGTTTGATGGTGTGTCACTATACTCCATAATAGATAGGGTGGTCGGGCTCGATGACGTGTTTGATGGTGTGTCACTATACTCCATAATAGATAGGGTGGTCGGGCTCGATGACGTGTTTGATGGTGTGTCACTATACTCCATAATAGATAGAGTGGTCGGGCTCGATGACGTGTTTGATGGTGTGTCACTATACTCCATAATAGATAGGGTGGTCGGGCTCGATGACGTGTTTGATGGTGTGTCACTATACTCCATAATAGATAGGGTGGTCGGGCTCGATGACGTGTTTGATGGTGTGTCACTATACTCCATAATAGATAGGGTGGTCGGGCTCGATGACGTGTTTGATGGTGTGTCACTATACTCCATAATAGATAGGGTGGTCGGGCTCGATGACGTGTTTGATGGTGTGTCACTATACTCCATAATAGATAGGGTGGTCGGGCTCGATGACGTGTTTGATGGTGTGTCACTATACTCCATAATAGATAGGGTGGTCGGGCTCGATGACGTGTTTGATGGTGTGTCACTATACTCCATAATAGATAGGATGGTCGGGCTCGATGACGTGTTTGATGGTGTGTCACTATACTCCATAATAGATAGGGTGGTCGGAGCTCGATGACGTGTTTGATGGTGTCACGGATAGGGTGGTCGGGCTCGATGACGTGTTTGATGGTGTGTCACTATACTCCATAATAGATAGGATGGTCGGGCTCGATGACGTGTTTGATGGTGTGTCACTATACTCCATAATAGATAGGATGGTCGGGCTCGATGACGTGTTTGATGGTGTGTCACTATACTCCATAATAGATAGGATGGTCGGGCTCGATGACGTGTTTGATGGTGTGTCACTATACTCCATGTGTCACTATATGGTGTGTCACTCCATAATAGATAGGATGGTAGGACTCGATGGCTGATGACGTGTTTGATGGTGTGTCACTATACTCCATAATAGATAGGGTGGTCGGGCTCGATGACGTGTTTGATGGTGTGTCACTATACTCCATAATAGATAGGGTGGTCGGGCTCGATGACGTGTTTGATGGTGTGTCACTATACTCCATAATAGATAGGATGGTCGGGCTCGATGACGTGTTTGATGGTGTGTCACTATACTCCATAATAGATAGGGTGGTCGGGCTGGATGACGTGTTTGATGGTGTGTCACTTTACTCCATGATAGATAGGGTGGTCAGGCTCGATGACATGGTTGATGGTGTGTCACTATACTCCATAATAGATAGGGACGGTCGATGGTGTGCTCGATGACGTGTTTGATGGTGTGTCACTTTACTCCATGATAGATAGGGTGGTCGGGCTCGATGACATGGTTGATGGTGTGTCACTATACTCCATGATAGATAGGGTGGTCAGGCTCGATGACATGGTTGATGGTGTGTCACTATACTCCGACGGCATGGTTTTGTTACTCACTGTATTAGTCACCGGCTTGTCTGGGGATTCGAACCCGGGTCTTCGGCGTGACGAGCCAACGCTTTAACCACTAGGCTACCCCGCCGCCAAATATGAAATAGAAACGACAATTACATTTCAGTATAGGTTAAGCATGTTCGCGTCAAAACTATGCAGTGTCTATCTAACAAGCATGCATATTCGATATTGATATGGGCAACAACAGAATATAACGTCGCGTTTCAAAGCTACTTTTATTCTATTTTCTGCTTTTGTACATGTGGCTCTTTATCGACGATATCTGATTACCATGGGTATGTATTTCGGCCAACCTGCAAGAGAGAAACGATTTGGAGATCAGTATATTTTTAACTTTCTCTTATCTTGTGGTAAAATAGCCACGATAGCCACTGACATTGACAAATTATTGGTCGGGTGACTAAAGTGTATTACAGCGTCTTCTTTCTTTCTTTCGTTTTTTAAGACCTCACACAACAATCTTAGAGTGACAATCACGATAA